GCCAAAACCCACTATGCATGTCCAAAACTGAAAATATTGTTGCTTTTGAATGCGCTATGCAATCTATAATGTCATTTAATTGTGGAAGAGGGTAATGAATTGCTTCTGTGTTTTTATTGAGCCTTCTGTAGTCTATTGCTAACCTGTACTCATTTGACTTCTTTTTCACTAACACAACAGGGCTAGCATATTCTGACACAGAATGTTCAATTATGCCATATTCTAACATTTGGTCACATTGTTTGTCAATTTCATTTTTCTGTTCTTGAGAATACCTATAGAATCTTTGCTGGACTGGCTTATCTGATTTTGTTCTTATAACATGCTCATATGTACTATTTGCACAGCCTAGCTCATTCATGTTTTGAGAAAAGACATCTTTATTTCTATCAATGAAAGTTATCAATTCTGCCTTTTCCCCTTCTGGTAATTTACATTTCTCTAGATTGATACCTGATGTTTGTACTTCACTACCAGTAGCTACATTATTTACACATGCTGTTAGTCTTGGTTCATTAGTAGTATAATATGTACTATGTTTAATAGGATCTCCCCTTTGTAAAATGACAACTTTTTGTGTGAAGTCTATGAGTGCTTTACTTTGTGAGAAAAAGTCCTCACCTAAAATTACATCATGATTTGCACTTTTGAGGATATGCATTGGTTGAACGTACTCAAATTCTTCAAATTTTAGAGGAACATTTGCCACACCCAGTACTTCTAGCTTGTGAGTTTCTCCCCCAGCCCCATATAACTCAATATTAGTTGGACTGATAGGACATTTCTTGTGCAAGTTCAATTTTTCATAGAGTGCTAATCTCATACAGGATTGTTCTGCACCAGTATCTACCAAGGCTTTGATATTATTGTCAACTATGTTTGTATGAATAATTATGTTTGAAACTGATCTTTGCAAATTAACCTTGACTGATTGAACTGCAGGGATGGCCACCTTGCCACTATCACTTTTCACTTGTTTAAACATTTGATTGTCAACTTTAGTTTCAAGGTGCCCATCCCTATGAGGAACAGGCGCGAGTCCTCATTTAGCAACGTTTCGACACATATACGAATAATGCCCCCCGCGACCACACTGAAAGCACTGCTTAAACCTAGCATAACAATTTAATGAAAGGTGGTTTGACTTACCGCACCTCTCACACTGGTTTCTGCTTGATGAATTTTGCTGCATAAATTGTTGGTCATGTTGGGGATACCGTTTCTGTTGTTGCGTAAACTGTTGATTCCCAGGAAATTGGTTCTGTTGTTGAAACGGATTCTGCGGTTGATACTGCTTTTGCGGTTGGTACTGATTCTGCGGTTGATACTGGTTCTGCTGTCTTTGGGCACTTTGTTGCACTGGAAACTGGTTATTGTTGGCATAGCGTTGACCCATGGCATCGACTGTGACTGCAGCAACGGATAGCTTATCGACTTTATCCGTGAGAATTTTAATCGAGGCTGCTAACATCTCTGGCGCTGAATCTTGGGGCATGTTGCTATGAATCCTTGCGAACTTAACAGCTTGTTCTAAATTTTCAGGTTCTTTGAGCCTTACAAAGTTCTTTGTAGATGTATTCAATCTTTGGACAAAGAGTTCTTTAACATCCTCAGCATCCTTTTTTAGTCTACTGGTATAATACATGAGCTTGCTGTGGAATTCATCCACAGACATATCATTTTGTTTGAGAGTATCCAATTTATCCAACAACTCCCATCTTTCCGATTGTTTGGGTGGGAACCTTTCTTTAAGTGCTTCCGTCAATTCCTCCCAGTCGTTCTTTGTATTTTCCTCTAATTGTTCAAAGTATTTTGCTGCTTCTCCTTTGACTAAAAGTGGGATTAAACTACATTTTCTTTGTTGGTTCCAGTTCTTTAAATTTGCGAATGTGTCAATAGTGTTTAACCAAATAATAACGTTTTCTTCTGATTTTCCATGGAATTTGTCCAATATTGATAAATCCATTGTTGTTAAACCTCAGGCAGCTCCACCAAAATATGACCGGGCTTTCTTTATATTAATTGTACACAATAGTGTGATGTTTTAATTTCTATCTTTTATTTATTTCACTTGTTTTCACTTCTAATCTACTGCTAAATCTAGTTATGTCTTTTTGAAGTCTAGGCCGAAAAGTGACCCAAATCTCACATGGCATATAGTATATTCTTCAAAACCAGACATCACATGATCACTTCAAATCTGTTATGTAAAAAGTTTAACAATGGGAAGACTGCTTCAAATCCTAATTATAATCCAAGATATAGAAATGTAAATTAAATGTAAATTAAAGAAACATTTGTAAGTCTGAAGATGCTCTGAACAATTGTAATGATTGCATATTTAATGTGAGAAACTGACCAGAGATATCCCAGGTGTACTACATGACCTGTTGTTTATCTAAATGCTTTTTGTATCATGTTTCCATTAATTAATTTACAAAGTAAAAACAAAGTAAAAGTATAAGATATTAATTATAAAATACAACATGAAAATCACTCCGTCACACATTACCGTCCATAGAATTCATCTCAGTCGGTAAGTTTACAGCTTATATTCTGCTTCTAGTAAACCACCTGGCAGATTTGACCCAGTCTTTATAACCATCCATATATACGTCACCGAATGGAACTACATGTAGTTGAAAAGGAAATCTTGTCTGTGAATCTTGCCTACGGGTGAGAAAGAGGACATGCTGTCTTTCCCATCCGCCATTTTTTGTTATCGCTACTGCAAAATTTTGCAAATCGCCTTGGCGTAACCGTCATGCTATAACACCGTGAGAGTGCTACCAAAATGAATTTGCCTACATACTCTTATCTGATAGATAGAATGCATCTTAAAATTTCGAAGTGATTTTACCTGTTAACTCTGCAATTGGTCCGCCATCTTGGCAGAAGCTATACCCAGGGCTTGCATTAACGGCGTCCTGACATGTTAAGGACTCAAAAATAATTTGGAGGACGCAAAATTGAAAATATTGCGTTTTTTGGACGCAATTTTCTTTAGGTCAATACTACAATGTGTTTACAACGATACCAAACAAAAACAAATCATTATGATCTCTCACCTTTATTTGAATCGTAAATAAGGCTCAACATGTTGAATATTTACAAATAATCATGATTCTCTCGAATTTTTTCGACTTTGCAGTGTGTCAGATAAGGATTTTTTTCTGGTAGCCATTTTGGCCACTGGATTTCAGATACCACTGGCCAAACAGATTTTTCACTAGCCAGTATAAAATTACGCTAACATCGCAAATTTTTACGAAAATCATTTATTTTATCTAAAAAGGTAAAGAATCTGCAATTTGTCAAACTTGTGCATCCAACTATATCAAAGTATCATTTAATTCCCTAATAATAACACTATGATATGATGATGATTAAAAATGTATCACGGACTGGGGGAGGGGGGTGGTAGCATTCCCCCTCCAGAAAATTATTGATATTTAGAACCTCTTTTGTGCAAGCTGAGCATGATATTCCTCATAAAAGTCAAATTTTAGGCCCTATATATAGATCTACACAGAAAAATTAATGAAGAACAAAAAATACACGTTGCTTAGTAACAGTAATTGCCGTTTTTAGCGCCGACCCCCTAATAACCATTCACCCCGCTTCACAAAGTTCAAGAAAAATCAAGGAATAACCAAGTATTATTACCGAACACACAGAAAAAATATTTTCCGAAAGAAATCAGTGGGCGATAATAGAGTACTTCATCATTACTTACACTAAAATGCGGAAAAAGTGGCACATTTTGTAATTCAGTGCATCATCACGATAAATATCTATCATTTGGTGCTTTCTACATTATACTAAACCAATATTTTGATGATTGAAGAAGGAAATGTCCCGAGTTTAAAAAGATTTTTTCGGCGATATCTTCTGCGCAGTTTTTATGCGCATATATATGATCTCTTCGACCAATCAGAACTCTCGAATAAAGAAGTCAAGAGCACGGCCAATCAGAATCCACGATAGAAAACGTTTCGGGATCGATGAAGAAGGAATATCCGGATGTTCTGGATTTTCGATCTCGGTGAGTTCCTCGGCAGAAATATGCCATTATCTTCGGGTTTTCAAGTCTGATTTGATCCCAGATCGCCACTATGGCAAGTGCTCCATTAAAACTGTTCGCCAGATGTATTTTCTGATGGCATTTGGCGAATGGCGACCGCTTATCCGACACACTGCTTTGTTTACTTTTAGATTTGAAACCATGACACGCCACAGTTTTCCTATTCAGAAACAAATATTAGGTTATTCATGAAATAAAATGTATTCATTGTCGAATGAACGAACATGCATTTATTCAGTCCGTACTTAATGTTTACTTCCGTTTTACGCGGCAAGAAATCAGAAACTGAAAATATGACAAGTAAGGTTAGAACATACATTCCCGAGCTTGCAATATGCTTTTAAAATAAAGTTATACCTCAAAACAGGCTAGAAATAGGGGACACACTTTTTTTTCAAAGGACTCACTTTTTAAAAAAAATTGCATCCTTGGGACTCACAAATTTTCTAACCTGATGCAAGCGCTGTATACCGAAAAAAACGAAATCACTAGAAAAAACCATGGCACATATTGTGCGCATGTGCAGCAAAGTTTAAACCAATCAGATTATTTGATTATTTTGCACACATGAATTATTTGCTTCTGAGCACTTACCATAAAAGCTAACCACAATAAACAAACCTGGCAGAGACTACCGTTACTTAATTTTAGCGAAATTTCAGCTCAAACTTGTGACAAATGCATTATGCATACACTGGTATGAAGCCTTGGAGACACTCATTTATTGTGTGTACTTTTCCGCAGTTTGTGGGAGATTGGGACATTGAATTCAAGAAAATATGCAAATTATACGACTTATCAATTAATTTGTACAAGCATTGTAACTATGTTTATCTTTATTGTTTGCCTATGTCAACTAATTCATTGATTGAAGACAGCCTTTGAGATTGACACTTGTGTCTTGTATAATTTGTAGTCACAGAACAGACTTTTTCTCGAGCAGCCAGTTCTTCTCTCAAAATGAACAGTAGGTGGAATGAGCGTCCTACCATATATTCTTGCTGATGTGCAGTAGTGCACCCTGTGTGTCTATAGGTTTCTTGTTGTTATATTGATGTACTGTAAAACCTGTCTCGATAGAACACCTTTGTTATCTCTAAAGTGTCCTTCTTGGGAGGTGTTCATTTAACATTAAGTCAGTTGGTCTTGGGACTGTGAAGTGTTCCACTAGCAGAGGTGTTCAACTTTACAGGTTTCACTGTACCGATAATTGTGATTTTAAGTCAAGAATATCTGGTAGGAAAGCATTGTCACTAATGCAATAATAATGATCAAAGTAAGACTAAGGGTAAAAATTACTTTGATAATATTTTTTAATCTGAATTAAGAGTAAGATTTTAGATATTAAGTGTTGTTTAGTACTTAGTCATCATTTTCTTTCCTAAGTCTTCTTTGCTTCAATTATCTTTGCTTTCAATCTTTAGAGTTCCCATATTGAATGTATCTATTATGTCTTGTATGTAATGTCATCAAATGTTTGTTTCTGTCATTTCCAAAGTGTTTATTATTTCGGTCCAAAGGCAATAGTATTTCATTTTCATTTGATGATATTACAAATATTTACCCCGATTCCTAATTTTGTTGAATAAAGCAATGTACTGTGCTGGTACTGCTGCCTTGTTCTTAAATGACAATATTTGCCATAATAGCTAAATATTTGATTTCCATTTCAGAAAACTGTTTGTTGGAGGCCTTAGCTGGGAAACTGAAACACGTAAGCAAATCATAATTGAAAATAATCGTTTTTAAAAAATGAGAATCATATACATGTAAAATGTTTTGGTTTCTGTTAAAAAAAGAAAATGAAATAAAGAAAATATAAGCTAGAAGGAGAAATCTACACATTGATACCTGTTGTATGAGTATGCTCCTTTGCGATTACTTGAATTTGAATACTGAATTAATATCATAAAATATAGCGTTTGGCTAAAAAGATTCTCTTTAATTCATTATGTCACCCACCACCAGGTGACAATTTATTAGTCTTCAACTTCTTTGTGGCGGCTTCTAGCAGTTTGATCTCAACATCTGAACAACAAATGACAGGTGGTGACATTTTTCATGTTAAATTCTTGTTTTGATTTTGATATACTGTATTATAAACTACATTTGTTTATTTGTGTGCTTGTAGAACATATTAAGGAATACTTCAGTAAATTTGGGGAGGTGATGGACTGTGTTGTGAAAACAGACCCAGAAACCACAAAATCACGAGGCTTCGGCTTTGTTTTATTCAAAGAACAGAATGCAATAGATAAGGTATGTTTTTTCCAAACATTTTTAATGCTGCGCTTATTCTGCGAATTTGTAAGAACACTTGCAAGAAACTAATTCTTCTACCAAGTTTTTTATCGTACCTAACGTACCTAATAAAGGTATGATATTGTCGTCAGCTTGACGGGCGGGCGGCATCTCACTTTTCAGCTTGTCTACAGGTTTCCAGCCAAACCATTTGACAGATTCATCTGAAATTTTCAGGAATGTTTCTACGTATCAAAGTTAAGAACTAATTAGTTTTTGGGCATTCTGGGTAAATTTTAAATGGCCATTTTGGATTTTCTGTCCTAAAATCTTCACTTTCAAGACTTGTCTACAGGTTTCCAGCCAAACCATTTGACGGATTCATCTGAAATTTTCAGGAATGTTTCTACGTATCAAAGTTAACAACTGATTAGTTTTTGGGCATCCTGGGTAAATTTTAAGGTGGCCATTTTGGATTTTCCGTCCTAAAATCTTCACTTTCAAGACTTGTCTACAGGTTTCCAGCCAAACCATTTGACGGATTCATCTGAAATTTTCAGGAATGATTCTACGTATCAAAGTTAAGAACTGATTAGTTTTTGGGCATTCTGGATAAATTTTAAGGTGGCCATTTTGGATTTTCCGTCCAAAAATCTTCACTTTCAAGACTTGTCTACAGGTTTCCAGCCAAACCATTTGATGGATTCATCTGAAATTTTCAGGGATGTTTCTACGTATCAAAGTTAAGAACTGATTAGTTTTTGGGCATTTTGGGTAAAATTCAAGGTGGCCATTTTGGATTTTCCGTCCTAAAATCTTCACTTTCAAGACTTGTCTACGGGTTTCCAGCCAAACCATTTGACGGATTCATTTGAAATTTACAGGGATGTTTCTACATATCAAAGTTAACAATTGATTAGTTTTTGGGCATTCTGGGTTAATTTTAAGGTGGCCATTTTGGATTTTCCGTCCTAAAATCTTCACTTTCAAGACTTGTCTACCGTTTCCAGCCAAACCATTTGATGGATTCATCTGAAATTTTCAGGTATGTTTCTATGTATCAAAGTTAAGAACTGATCAGTTTTTGGGCATTCTGGGTAAATTTTAAGGTGGCCATTTTGGATTTTCCGTCCTAAATTCTTCACTGTCACACTGCTGTGTTTTAGGTACGATATTGTTCACGTCTGTGCCTTGTTTTCTTAAAATATGGCATACAGTTGTTATGTCACCACCAAAAGTGGTGACATATTGTTATTGTCTCCGTTTTTTTTGCGACAGCGGTTGGTGGTTGGAGGTTGGCGTCCGGCGTCTGTAACAATTTCTTACAACTTCCTATAACTTAACAAATACTGTTTAGACTGACTTCAATTTTTTTCTAAATCATCTACATGTTCTCAGAAGTTCAAATCTGACTTTAGATTTGACATTTGACCTTCAATGACCTTCTCAATGTCAAAAAGGTCTTTTTTCAACTTGCTTCACATTGACTAAATTTTTTTCAAAATCATCTACATGTTCTCAGAAATTCAAATCTGACTTTAGATTTGACTTTAGATTTGACATTTGACCTTCAAATCTGACTTTAGATTTGACATTTGACCTTCAATGACCTTCTCAAGGTCAAAAAAGGTCAAAGAGGTCTGTTTTCAACTTGCTTCAAATTGACTAAGTTTTTTTTTCAAAATCATCTACGTGTTCTCAGAAATTCAAATCTGACTTAAGATTTGACATTTGACCTTCAATGACCTTCTCAAGGTCAAAAAAGGTCAAAAAGGTCTGTTTTCAACCCTTCTTCAAATTGACTAAAAAAAATTTTCAAAATAATCTACGTGTTCTCAGAAATTCAAATCTGACTTAAGATTTGACTTAAGATTTGACATTTGACCTTCAATGACCTTCTCAAAGTCAAAAAAGGTCAAAAAGGTCTTTTTTCAACTTGCTTCAAATTGACTAAAAAAAAATTTCAAAATCATCTACATGTTCTCAGAAATTCAAATCTGACTTTAGATTTGACATTTGACCTTCAATGACCTTCTCAAAGTCAAAAAATGTCAAAAAGGTCTTTTTCAACTTGCTTCAAATTGACTAAATGTTTTTTTCAAAATCATCTACATGTTCTCAGAAATTCAAATCTGACTTTAGATTTGACATTTGACCTTCAATGACCTTCTCAAAGTCAAAAAAGGTCAAAAAGGTCTTTTTTCAACTTGCTTCAAATTGACTAAATTTTTTTTCAAAATCATCTACATGTTCTCAGAAATTCAAATCTGACTTTAGATTTGACATTTGACCTTCAATGACCTTCTCAAAGTCAAAAAAGGTCAAATGGTCTTTTTTCAACTTGCTTCAAATTGACTAAATTTTTTTTCAAAATCATCTACATGTTCTCAGAAATTCAAATCTGACTTTAGATTTGACATTTGACCTTCAATGACCTTCTCAAAGTCAAAAAAGGTCAAAAAGGTCTTTTTTCAACTTGCTTCAAATTGACTAAATTTTTTTTCAAAATCATCTACATGTTCTCAGAAATTCAAATATGACTTTAGATTTGACATTTGACCTTCAATGACCTTCTCAAGGTAAAAAAAAGGTCAAAAGGTCTTTTTTTCAACTTGCTTCAAATTGACTAATTTTTTTTTTCAAAATCATCTACATGTTCTCAGAAATTCAAATCTGACTTTAGATTTGACATTTGACCTTTAATGACCTTCTCAAGTTAAAAAAAAGGTCAAAAAGGTCTGTTTTCAACTTGCTTCAAATTGACCAAATTTCTTTTTCAAAATCATCTACATCTTTTCAAATTTGACTTTACAAGTTCTCAGAAGTTCAAATCTGACTTTAGATTTGACCTTTGACCTTCAATGACCTTCTCAAGGTCAAAAGGTATTTTCCAACTTGCTTTAAATTGACCAAATTGTTTTAGGTGGTGACATTTTGTCATGTTAATGCCTTGTTTCCCATGAGTTGATATTTATTTATTATATAAATAGTACACTGCACCAGAATTAATTTCCTAGATTCTTTAAGCTACATAAGTGTCATCATCTAGTAGATCTACATGTCTAGGAAATTAATACCAGATTAAACTACACGTTTAAAAGTAGAATGAAACATGTTGTGGTGGGTTTTATATACAGTACACTATAAATATCTTTAATCTATTTTAGGTGTTAGCTGTGTCAACACATTCGTTACATGGCAGAAATATAGACCCAAAGAGAGCCAAGGCTAGAACTGCTAGGGACCCAGTGAAAAAAGTTTTCGTAGGAGGTTTAGATCCTGATTTGCCAGTAGAAGCTATTAGAGAACATTTTAGTGTACATGGAAAAGTAAGTATTTTAGAAATATACAGCAGTCAGTTATTCAGGTAGTTATATGTTCAGTTAAGGCTTTACGTGGCAATCTACAAGTGAGAGATGGGGGGAAAAGGCGCTGGGTGTTTTTTGTCATTGGTTGGAGATTAACCAATTAATTTATTTATTTTAGAAGATTATCTAAGTAACCCATTTGCTCAATCTCCTAGAACATAAGTTGGATTTGAAACTCATCAAGGACATTTATCTTTCCAGAATAATCACTGATTTATATTGAGGGAGGCTATATGATTTATTGTGACCTATGCTTTCAGATAGAAGAAATAGATCTCCCCTTTGATAAAGCAAAGAATCAGCGAAGGCAGTTCTGCTTCATCACATTCGAATCTGAAAAAGTCGTAGATGCTGTATGTGAAGAAGCTAAACAAATAATTGGTGGAAAAGAGGTGCGTTGACTTTTTTTACGAACAATTTTTACTTTTAAATGCATGTTAATTCCAATATCTAATGTTACTGTGAAGTTAGTTTTCCAGGTAAAGTCTAATGCAGCTAGTGTAATGTAAAGTGGCCCATCGGGACTTTAGGAGAATTAGAGTAATTTATCCATATCCATATTGAGTACAGTGTAAGCTATATTAAGAGTAGGGAATCAGTTTATCACATCAATCTATTCACTGAAATGTCATTAGTGCATTTTGTTCGTTTACAGCTAGCAGCGCTGACATGTCGTATGATTGACACTTGAAAAGGATCACCATACAGCCAATTTGGTTTAGAGGTTATATACAACATTTCTGGCCCTTGAGCTAAATTACACTTGTGTCTTGGTTTCTGTAGGGCTAAACCTAAGGCTAATTCTAGAATAATTGCATTTTAAATTTGCAGATAGTGTAAATACATAGTGTAAATGACTCCCTGTGGTTATGCCCTAGAGTGGCGTAGCTTGCTGGGTCAAACCTCAGGGTTGTTCTAATAGTCTTATAAACAGGTAAATATGAGCTTTCAGAATGCATGCTTTCAGCTTGCTTTATGATAACCAAACGATGTGATATTTTACAGGTTGACGTAAAAAAAGCGACACCAAAACAGGATCGTCACCCTGGTGGTTACGATGAGAGTAACGGAGGCGGTTGGGCCGGACCACGGTGGGGAAATGGACCTGGGGACAGAGGTAGAGGTAGGGGCAGAGGCAGGGGTGGGTACAACAACCAAGGGGGTTGGGGTAACCAGGGGGGCTGGGGCAATCAAGGAGGATGGGGTAACCAAGGGGGTTATGGGGGATATGGTGGAGGCTATGGGGGATATGGACCAAATGACTACTACGGCTACTACGGGGGCTGGGGAGGATATGACGGATACAGTGGATATGGCGGATATGGGGGAGGATACGGAGGTTATCCACCAGGTAAATAAATCTTCATACTAGAATCTGATATGTTATGGTATTGCTGTATTGAATATTCACTATTCAGTGTGATATCATAGACTTAAAATAATCTATTAGACAATAGATGATATACCTGATTATATGGCTTTGAAAAATGACATACAGTCTGTGCAGTTGATTGTAATGCCATGCACCAAGAAAACATGTCAAATGAATTCACTCTTAATACAGTAATTTCTATAACTACAATGTTTTTTTTTATTACTGTTTTAGGTTATGACTACAGTAGTTGGTATGGACAGCAGGGTTCTGAGGGACAGCAAAGTACTCAGGGCAGTGGAGATCAAAGTATGTACATGTAGTTTTACTTTCATAAATATCCATTTTCCTTAAAGTCCCCATCTAAAGTTTGAAAATATTTTTCTATCATTCATTTACTATTTGTCATGACTTAAAAAGTTATTTTAGAGATTTTTGAAAAAAAAAATTGAAAAAAAAGTTGTGAGCATTTCATTTCTCAAATATTCAAATTTCCTGCCATTTTTCATCAAATATTTCTTAATGCATTTCAAAATAGATTATCTTTTTAACACCAATGCAAAGATTGAACAAAGGACACTATTTCAATAATAAAATGCCATATTTAATGGGCCACTTGAATGTTTTAGCATATCAAAAATATTTTGCAACATAGTGATGTCACTAAGGTAGCAAAAACCTTTTGAAAAAAATTGAATTTTGTTTTTTCGATGTCAATCTTTTCTTAGTATGCTAGACTTCAATAATATACCAATGTTAGTTGTCTAACCAGGTTAAAAAGAACAATATATTATGTTTTAGATATCATTGTACCATTGGTTTCTATGAGAAATGAAATTTTTAAATGCATTTTTCTTGGAACCATTTTCATGCACTGATGAGTTCATTTCTCGCTTATTTATGAACCAATTTTCTTAATTCTTTCGGCAAAAAACATGAGAGGATGAATGGTATGCATTGGTATGAATTGTGGCTAATTAAAATATATGTGTGACCTCTAAAAGTTAGTTTTAAATAAATCAAAAGCCACTTTTTGAAATTGAAAAAAAAAAGTTTCACATATCACTTTGATAACATTGGGAAAGACAACAATATAAGCCAAGGTGGTTTAAACTTTATATGGGGACTTTAAGAAATCCTGGCTTGAGAAATAGAAATGTGGTTCTCTCTTATGGAAGATTTATTTTAAGCATGAAATGAATTGGCATATAACCAATATCAATTTCATGTGTGTTGCTTATGAGATAATGAAAATCACTATGTAGTGTATGTGCTAATTGTTAGTACACCCACATTTCTTGCAATTAGTTCAGTCTGTATGTATATGAATTAATTTGCTTGTAAATGCATTCAATTAAGTGAGAAGTAAGTGGCTGCTATTAGCCACAATTTCTCCTATAATGAGTGATAATATCTCGATGATCATTGTTCTCCACTGTATACCTGAATGGTGATGACAGTGGCATCTATTTCTAATGTATTTTGATCCATGTATTTCAGATTATGACTATGCAGCCTGGTATGCGTCCCAAGGACAACAGCCTCCTCCAGCAACTCAGGAGCAGCAACAGACAGGTCAGCATCCTTTATAGTTTTATTTGAACTTAATATCATAAGACCTGATTATAAAGGCTTTAAACATATTTCCAGTTTCTTCAAATGTTACCTATTTACTTCCTCAAATTGTTTTTGTTAAGTGATTGGTTGAGAAAATTTAAGCATGATTGGTTTGAATTGATATCTGACTCTGGCTTTTACAGCCATCTTTATTGGGGGCTGGGGTGTTCTACTGTAAAATTGTCGTTAGTATTCAGAGGTTATAATCACAACACTAACCTTTGTGCTCAGGGTACATGCTTCTAATATTAAGTATCAACCATATCTCTCTGATATCAAGTGTCAACCAAATGTTTCTCATATTTAGTATGTGTTTCAGCTCCTCCAGGAGGACCCCCTCCCACCAGTCAGGCAGCAACTGGAGCAGGGTTTGGTAAGGCTCCACCCCCAGCAACCAAACCAGCAGCAGACTCACAGGCAGCAAGCTACCATCCGTACCAACGATGAGGTAAGCATATTAGTGGGAAGTAGATTTGAGCATTGGGGTGAGTAAAATGGCGATATACTTAAGTATATGAATTTTGAAGCTTGTGAATGTTTACATTTGTCAGTGTTCCTTCATGCTATAAAGGGGGCTTTTATCACGCTTTTCTCTGGTAGTCCAAATTGAATTATGTTAATCTATTAATGTAACACATTAAAGATCTATAGCAGGCCCATAGCCAGGATTTGCCAAGGGGAGTTCACTTTTTGAGAAATTCCAGGGGGGTTCACTTGTGACAATTTTGGTCCAAAAATGGCCAAAATCACTTAAAAGCGCTCAGAATGGTGAAAAAGTGCATGATTTTTATAGGATTTTTTGGCTCGGGGGAGGTTTGCTCGAACTCCCCTGGCTACGGGCTTGTATAATTTCTGTGTTAAAATATCATATTTATGAGTGGCCAAAAACCTTTTGAACACTGATCAAACAAGGTTCATTTAATCAAGCGAAAACAAGATGAATGCTTGAAGCCAATACTTTCACTATATACGCAGGTAACATATAGTGGCAAGTCTGTGCATGCATCTTATGACTTAATTTATTTTATTTTCAGATGCAGATAGAGATTCGAGAGGTGTTTTAGACTTTTAGCCCTTAATGGGACCTCCATTGTGGAGTTTTAGTTAACACTGGTCTCTGGACTAGTTCTTGGCCATGGAAGCCACATTCCAATTTTTTCAAGTAAACATCTACTTAACAAGTGAATTTAATAGGATTATGAACCATACTTTAGACACAAACAATTATTGCAGTGTTGCAAATTACGCAAGATTCGTTCAGCTCTTTTATGAACATTTAAGATTATGAAATATGATAATAGCAAATCACTGGACTCTGGAATACAAAAGATACAATGGAAATGGAATATTTTCAACATGGGACATTGATAAAGTACTACAAGGTTTGTCACATTGGAATTAACAAATACAACTTCATAAAATGTTGGTCAGTCCCTTAATATCCTTATGTTATGTGTAACCCCATTTGGGGTCCTTCGATACAATAAATACAATTAAATTCAAATGAATTTTCAAACTAAATGAAACCACTTATAGAGGCTATAATTAATTGGCTTAAGATTTTATTTAATTTCTGTTGTTGCATTTGGATCTCAATTCAAGACTGTATATTTGACATTTTGTATATAGATCAAATCTCACATTTCACGAACATTTAACAAAACTTGTGAAATTTTATGTGCTTGGAAAGTTGGCCAAATATTTCCTTAAGCTATTGCAATGTTCATGTTATATATGAAATTCCCAATTATGTTATAGCCCATTTTTCTACAAAACACTATGTGATGTATGTCTGTACAAAGTTTTATGGTATGAAGATTATGTAATAAACTGATATATAGACAGAATACATGTGTTCATTTTATTTCAAGTTATTGCCAACTTGTACAGGAATCCCCTTTGTTTCGATTTGTTAAAAAGGAAAGGATTATTAACTTTATGTTGAGAGACAATTTAGTACTGATGCAGTGTTTACCTGTGTGCCAGTTTGCTATATTTTGAGGCTGACATCTTCCAAGGTTTGAAGTCCCAATTTCTTAAATGAATAATCCATAACAAATTTCAAGATCTGACAAATGTATTATTGTCCCACCATATAAAGGTCGAGGAGGATATAGGAAAGCTGTCCATTCGTTTGTCTGTCCAGACAATAACTCAAATACTGTTTGATGGATTTGATTCTTTTTTTGATCGCTCTGCTCGAGAAGAAATTTTCAATATGGCCGCTTGATTCAAAATGGCCACCATTTTTCGTAAAAAAATGTAATCTTTGATAACTCAAATACTATTTGACGCTTATATGCTGATGCCTAGGGACGAAGCTGTTGTATTTCAAAATGGCCACCATTTTTCGTTAAAAAACGCAATCTTTCCTAATTCAAATACAAGTTGATGGATTTCATTCAGATTTTATATGCTGATACTGTGATACCAAGGGACAGGAGCTCTGTTGAGAAGGAATTTTTAAGATGGCAGCTGAATTTCAAAATGGTTGCCGTTTTTGTAAAAAATCGTATCTTTGATAACTCAAATACCATTTGACTGATTTGGTTCAAATTGTATATGCTGATGCCTAGAGATAATGGAGCTCTGCTCAAAAATACATTTTTAAGATGGCTACTGAATCTCAAAATTGCCGCCATTTTTGTTTGGTAGTAGGTGAATTTCAAAATGGCCACCATTTTCATTAAAAAAACATAATCTTTGATAACTCAAATACCAGTTGTCAGTTTAATGGTTCAAAATATGTGGACAAATGGGCTCTGTTCGAGAAGAAGTTTTCAAGGTGGCTGTTATATATCGAAATGTTTTTGTCCATTGGGATTTGCTACTCCTTGGAGTTGTTTTTCCTAGTTCCTGCATCACCCTATGCAGACAGAGCCTGTGGGAAATATTGGGTGCGGAGCAAATGAGCGGAGGGTGCGGAGCTAACGGTTATTTTTGAATTTAAATTTGGGATATTTCTGAAACTAAGCCGTTTTGGGACTTCAAATATACCAAGATATGTGTATTTGACACCAAATATCAATACAATTGTGAAAATAGTAGCGCAATTCATTCTATAGCGACGCAGTGTACCTTAAACCTTTCCCAGACCTATATATTTTGAAATTATCCTTTTAATACTGAGTCCCCAGCATTCATAAAAAATGGTGTTCAAGGTGCACTATCTATACAAATTATTTTTGCATCTTGGAAGCCAGGCAGTATCTGTGTGATTTTATAAAAATTCGGAAATTTTTTCAGATATGAGCCCCCTCTAAATATTGGGTGCGGAGCAGCTCCATAAACGTAGCTCCGCACCCAATATTTAGAGGGGCTCATATCTGAAGAACATTTCCGAATTTTTATAAAATCACACAGATACTGCCTGGCTTCCAAAATGCAAAAATAATTTGCATGGGTAGTGTATCTTGAACACCATTTTTTATGAATGCTGGGGACGCAGTATTAAAAGGATAGTCTCAAAATATATAGGTCTGGGAAATGTTTAAGGCATACTGCGTCGCTATAAAATGAATTGCACTACTATTTTCACAATTGTATTGATATTTGGTGTCAAATACACATATCTTGGTATATTTGAAGTCCCAAAACGGCTTAGTTTCAGAAATATCCCAATTTTAAATTCAAAAATGACCGTTAGCTCCGCACCCTCCGCTCATTTGCTCCGCACCCAATATTTCCCACAGGCTCTGTCTGCATAGGGTGTGCATGAAACAGTAGCCTTATAGCATATAACACTAATTTAAGAGATGCAGTATCTAAGAAATCACAAAATATGATTGACAATTCTGCTTCATTTAGCAGAGCCTTAATGTGTTTTAATGTGTTTCTCATGAGCATGACATATTTTGTGTATCAATTTGCAAAGATTTAACAAATAAAACTAAATAATTCTGAATGAAGGGGTCACTGTTAAGCTAATAGTTGTTATTAATTGGAACTTGGCATATATAAATGGCAAATGCACATCATGATAATTAACAAACAACAGACTATGATTTCTGTAATAAACATTTATTCATAAAATACTAAATATTTAAATCAGGCATAGCCATTCATTTGATGTATATGAATTTGAGTATAAGTGAATAATCATTTTAATAAAATATATAAATTAATTACAATATACTCGTGATAATGCTGATAAAATATTGCTTCTTTTTTATTGTGAATAACAATAGTTATAAATGTAAATGAGTGATCAACACTACAGTAAAATCATTCGTCATGGCTAGCAATTGCATATATATGAATAAATTACAGTTGAGCCGAAATCATAAATAATATTTTTTAATAAATTCATGTGAGATTATACATAAGCATTGATTTTGGCACAATTTATATTCAGTAGTATAAACAATATATTATTCAGTAGTATATACAAATCAAATCTGATAAATTGACAAAATAGCCAGGGTACCAACCAGGTTTTGGCCATAGGGGTTGTTCCGTAATTTTTAATTAGGCCTAAACATTTACATGTCTGACCTCACTTTTAACTTTCTATACAGCCCAAATGTAGAAACCTTGATAACAAAATGGGAATTCACCCTGATTAGAAACATGAAATTAAAGTAGTTAAACTGTATCAACCTCTATGGAAAACACATGGTATATCAGCTGATATACATTTATGGCACTTCCATCTTTGGTTTCATGTACAACTCGCCATGTTATATTGTGGCGTTTCCCCTTAATCTGGGAATGTAACATGTATAAATAGAAAATTAACAGAGAAACTCTGGTGAATCGGAATATGTACAACTTATCTTTGGTGGCATTGTACATGTTGTAGTCGTTTCTCATTTGGAGAATATTTCATATGCCAAGCTGTGTACAATTTTTAGATGTCAATTTTCCTTATTAACACACAAATATAAGATTCTGAAACTTCAGCCATAAATGTGAAATTGATTTGTAAAAATAAAAATTTCCCTTTTTTGCCCAGAAAATAATTTGGGCCAAAAAGGCCTTAAAGCCCCTAAAAGTGGGCCTTTTAGGTCATTACTGGGCCTTTTTAAGGCCTTTTTCTTTAAATTTTAGGCCAACTTTTGAATAAAATGGGCCTAAAAATTTCAAAATGTGGGCCCACTTTTTGGTTTTAGTGGCCTAAAAAATGTTTACGCGAGTTTTTCCGCAGACCTGAAATTTGGGCCTCCCCTGTTGGTTCCTAGACCTGCCCCTGAGAGGTGTTGATACAACGACCTCGAACCTGTGAACCATTGAGCATTATTCCGGGATTGGGCCTTTTATACTAAACGGTGAGCAACACCAGAACAGGCGGTCGATTTGCTAAGCAATATACATCACCCTTTAAAGCCCATGTGATTAGGTACCTTATTGAAGGCCTAAAATAAATACAATTGTAGCTCGCACCTTCATATATGGAATATAATGGCAATCTATATGTATATTTTCAAAAGATAGAATCGATATCAGTGATTTTCTTTCCAAATGTGTCCAGTTCTAACTGCGATAATTGTTTTAAGAATCCATAATTTGGTCTGGCACAGCTCCGCCTCTCTTTCAGGAGGGCTAAAGCCTGGTCCAAGGGCCAGTGTCGTGTCTGTATAAGAAAGCACAACGTGGCGGTAGAGCTCCTACTCACCCCCATGTTACAATGGACTAATACACGACCATGATGCTCTTCAGCATTGCGTATGAACTCGTCTATTGCCTTGAAATATTTCGCAAGTTTGGAACCAGGAAGATCATCCAATCGTATCGTGAGATACTTTATCTGACCTTCAAACTTAGCTGGAACATCCTGGGTTAAATTCACGATGTGTGTGATATTTAAGTTATTTATGACACTGTTATTTATTGCATGTTCACCATTTCCTTGGTATAGAAAGTTTGGAAGGATAATGGAAGGATATGATTGGATTTTCTGACGTCGATCCATCTCTGTATGAATCAATTCTTCTCCACAGAGAAATGGGAACCGCTTTTCAAATGCTTTGAATCCACCTTGCAAAATCAAACTCTCCAAATCAGATGGAAATTTATTTTTGACATTGGACACATTGCTTGATTCATCAGGAGTGTCACCATCCCCATTTTCATAAAGTATAATATGGAAGTAATCCCTGAGAGTATGTGTGAGCATGAAGTTCGAAAGCATACTGTGATGGAGTGCTGTAATTATGTGCCCCTGGTTGTACTCCCCCAAGGTTCTCGTATCAATTAGCAATATGTACCCAGGATCGTAGAGGTACATATCGATTCTCCCTTCATTCAAAATATTGTAGAGTTCATCAGCAGTGACCTCACCATCAGGTGTTGGATCTGTGGCAACATCTTCTGGGCTTATGAAGACATCTTTAGGATTGCTATGGTTACTTAATGTGACATCACCTTCAACTTTGATGTCAGACATAGACATGACATGATTTGGGAAATCATCAACCTGCCCTTTGATGTGTGTGCCTTCATCCATGTCATATCTCTGTTTTTGACACTTGTCTGTGAGAGCTGCAAACAAAAAGAAGCAAAGGTGAGCAATCAAGAAACAGTTTTGGGTTCACATTCACGGTCACTATTAATTATTTTTACCATGACGTGTTCCACAAAGTTTCCATCGTCAATGACCCCTTACCTTTATCTGAGACTGGCCTTTATAGAATGCCTTTATACAGCAATTATTTTTAAATGGAGAATAATGCATGAGGAAAGAGATGGTTAAAATGATACAAATAATGTGAAAATATATTACCATCTCCAGATGCGCTCTTGATCTCTGGTGTTATATTTCTATTGCTATCTCCATTGGTACTCTGAAAGAAATAAGCACTTTATCACTTTTGTAGATCCTATTATGATATTGCATATATATACAGTACAATAATACAATAGATTGAATTATGAACATTTTATCTTGAATGCACCGTTAGTTAGTGAATATGAAGTTATGTGAATATTTTAACTTGAATATGTTTTTGCCTTGCTCTAATGATCGATTTATAAGTCATCATATAACAATCATAAGACTTGCTATGCATCCTAATCTTGAGTAAAAAACTCAAAGTATGACATAATTATTATATAAATGGCAACTATAAACTATTAACTTGACAGTAAAGGAACAATCAGGGCCTTAACCTACATGTGAAGATTTTTCCTTCTTGCTTTTTTCTGGTTCAGTATGTGTCACTTGCGGTTGTGAAAATGAACTGACTGCATTATTTTGTTTTCTTTCTGTATGATGTTCTTTCTGAATAGCAGAACTGCTGTTATGTTTCTCTTTGGAAGACTCATGATCCTTAGACCTCCTTCTTGATACTGATGAACCCATGTTCTACTGTATAGACCATGCTTGGTATATCTCTATGTTCACCTTGAAATATTAATAAATTGAAATTGAAAATTGAAAAACAGAGAGTCATATATTTTTGCCCATGTGTGAATGTTTATCATAACCTGTACAATTTACAGTTTGAACAGCTGTCAGTTTAAAACATGCTAAATAACAATGGTGTAAAGCATTAAACATATAGAAAAGGATACCCTGTGAGCAAGCAGTAAAGGGATGAATGTATGCATTGCATTGTAACTATAATCACCGGGGGTCGTCCAATTAGTCTGAATCCCAATAGCTTGAATCCCATTGGTCCAAATTCCTATGGTCCGAATCCCATTGGTCCAAATCCAATCATCTGAATCCTAACAGTCTGAATCTGAATCCCATTCGTCTGAATCCAATTGGTCCGAATCTCGCTTAGTAATTTAATATCAAGGTACATGTAAAGATGCAAGAAAATGTGAATGTGGAATAAAATATCACTATGATTATTTGATTATGGAATAACATTGATTCTCCTTTTAGCCATGTTTGTTCGTACTACATGTACATGTACTAAATTACCTTTTGCATTTTACACTTTGTGAATTATAGTTTTGGATATGTAGAGCTTCAATATGTAAAGTCTTTATATCGTGATAATTCCCTATAGTTCCTTGGAAAATATAACATTGACAATTGTTAATCTTCGGATATAGTGAACAGAACCCCCCCCCTCCCCTTATGTTATCTAGATATGTTACATCTTATCTTGTTCAAACACCATACTCTTCGTTTCGTTAGAACGTAGAGATAGTTTTGGAACGAGATAAGTTACATCCTTTAGATATATGGAAAGCTTCGCATTATTCGTGTCTTCGGATCATTAGGTTTCACTATTCACTACTCTATTGAAAGCCCGTGATCCTAGGTTTCGGGCGAATGCAGGCCTGTCAACTGTCCCGCAATTTGCGTATTTGTCACGCATTTGCTGAAGAATTTGAAGTCACGCCAGTTTTTTTTGCGTGACAGAAAATGTCACGCAAAATACGCATTTTACCTGGCAATTGTCAAGCAAAAATATTTCTGTAGAAATTTTTTCGAAATATGTTTACGATACGGTAAAAATACGAACGTCGGAAAAAACCGAACGCAATTTGTTCGGATTTATCACGCGAATCCCGTATGTGTCACGCATGTTCATTGGAAATTTTTCATACCTACCCCCCCCCCCCCCCCCCCCCCCCCCCCCCCCCGTTGATGACTTCGCGAGCGTAGCGAGCGCGAAAAATTTGAGGTGTTCAAAGTTTGGCAAAGGTGCTCAAACTTTGGCCAAAGGTGTTTAAAAGTTGGCCAAAGGTGTTCAAAATTTGGACAAAAGTGTTCAGATTTGGACTTAGGTGTCCAACATTTTGAAGTCACTCATATTAGGTGGTCCCAAGTTGACAGCCCTGCGAATGGGATTCGGATGATTGAGATTCGGAACATTTGAATTCAGACATTGGGATTAGGATCAATGGTCTGTCCTCACTACACTGTACTTCACATGGAGATGGCTTATCTCGTGCCAGGACACGGGATAAGAGATGGCAAGATAAGAAGATAAGGCAGATTTGATAAAACTTTGTTATTTGGGCTCTTATGAAGCATTTCACATAAATTTTTGATACATAGTATAAATAATAATATACTTAACATTTTCAAATAAGTAAGAAACACTATCACTATCAAACGTGACTGTAATTTACCTGTAAAGTGGCGAATCTTGAAATATACTTTTCGATTTGTTTACAGAGACCGCTTGCAACAATGACAAATAACAGAGGTCAAGGACACCGGAAGTGGATTTTTAATTGAAATGAAAGTGAGTAATCTGCATGTTTTAGTTAAAATTAGGCAGCAGAACTGTTTGATATGACTTAATTTGCAATACAAATCTCGTTAACGGATAATGAAATTTCTTTCTTATGCTCTTATAGTATAGAATGTGCTATTATAGATCTACTCCAACTCTGGTCAATTTTCTTTGAAAATGTGATGCCACCAGCATACTGAGTGAATGATCAGTATGATGGTGATTCACCATCTATCACCAAAGACTGTTATAAGCCAGTCTTGTATAATTTGGAGTACAGATGATGCTGACTCTGTGATTCACTGACTATCAGCTAATCTTTAGACAATCAAACTCTAAGCTTTAGGTTTACTCCAATAAATGTGAGGGTACATGTACATTTATGATTGCTACGACATCTTATTTCAGGTTTTCACATATGTATGGGCATGGTCATTCAATATAGATAATAAATCAGTTTGACAGATATCAAATATATCATGTACAAACTATTGACGACTGCAGTGACAACTGTAGCATTTGGGAAATTAATGTATGACATCATAAGCACAATATACAATAGACTGCACCAAAAGGATGACAAGGAACCAGTTGACAAAGTTATATTCTTTCCCGATGATACAGTATCGTGTCGTAAATACAGGAATGGAATTTGCAAAGACGTAAATTGTAGAATGAGTCACGATAACACATCTTTCTCACAACTAATAACAATATTCGAACAGGCGAAGAGGTCCATAGATGTTTGTGTATTTGTGATCACGTGTCAAGAGTTGGCGAATGTCCTGGCTGAGAAACAAAAGAGAGGGCTTACAGTTAGGATCATCACAGACAGTGAACAGGAGGATTGCAGTGGCTCACAACTATACAAGTTTAGAGCAGCAGGTACAGTAGTTTTCATTCAGTTAAAGGTAGAATCAGAAATATATGCGACAAAATTGGAAGCGATGCATAAGAGGAGGGAAAACCCCATGATTCAATTGATGACATACAATTTCCTCCTTCGTGCACCTCTTTTCCCGGAAGTACTTATATTTGTTTATTACCTCCATTTGGTTTTCAAAGTTTTCAATTTGACCTAGTTTTAAACCAATAGACTTGCTAAACCAATCAGCGATGATGTCATCTCAATACAGATTTACATTATAAGCGTATGTCATCTTTGAACCCTGGGGTTTCTCCCCCTCTTCGATGCATATAAGATTTGCGATATCATTTGAAATGGCAGCATTATTTAATAACAAAAGTTCAAAATGTGTAAATTTTTCCAAGTAGATTAAATGTAAAAATCTTTATATTTTCCAGAATTAATAACCATATGAAAATATTTTAATTAAAGGTCAATAAATACAAGCATTATGTCTTCATTCCAGGTGTAAGAGTACGAACAGACAGGACAACATTCTTCATGCATCACAAGTTTGCCATTGTAGACAATAGCCTTCTGGTGAATGGCTCGTTCAACTGGACTAAACAAGCAGTTACTGGCAATTTTGAGAACTTACTTATAACAAGCAATAAAGGAATAATACAACAATACCAGCAGGAATTCAACAGGCTTTGGGAAAAGTTTGATCCTGGAAAGAATTTAAAGAATCTGTAATAAGTGTGATCTCTACTCTCCCGTATGTCATATCATGATACTGTAGTTTTGGGCTTTTTTCATGATTATATTCTGAAATGAATCAAGCTGAATGTGATCTTCAATGGTGCTCATTGTTTTGCTATGTTTATATCCAATGTACAGTTTTATTTTCTCACTGTTGTTTGGCATCTCTCCTTATCCAGGAGCAGAGACCTGAAATGGAGGGGGAGTTGTTTGTAGAATGAATCGGGGGAGTTTTTCATGCATTTCGCTTTTTCATCCAAAAACATCAATACACTTTAAACAGTTAAAACATTTTATTATCCCAACGAACGAAGTTCTGTAGGGATATAGTGAAGCCCTCGGTCCGTCCGTCAGTCAGTACGTCCGTCTGTCGGGAAGATAACTCAAATACTAGTTGACAGATTTTTTTCAAGATGGCCGCCAGTTTAAAAATGGCGGGAATTTTTCGCAAAAATCTTATGTTTTTCATTTTAAACTAAAATGATAAATATTTTTATTTGAAATTTTTGTAGTATGTTAACAACATCTATCTATTTCACATATATCCAGGGTTTTTCACCCTGACCCCCAGGGGCCGTAAATAGGGATTGGAAAAACTGGAATTTGCGTTAATTTTGAGATGTTTTTGAAGTATAGCTTTATTATAGTATACTCAAATGAAAGGCAATTTAGAGTAGATTGCTGTATTATACTCAAATTGAAGGAATTTCAGAGTAGATCACAATTATGGCATTGTTTTTTTGATTTGCGCCTCTGAGTATTCAAAATGGCTGACTAGAGCAGAAATTTCACCATTACTGATACTACAGTGATTTAAAATATTTATTGAAGGTAAGAGTAGATGGTAAGAGTAGATATTACATTGTGACTGTACAGATTGATGATTTATATAGTGTTCGTTGGGATTTGCTACTCCGTAGAGTTGCCATTTTCTAGTTGACTATAAGATTGCAGCATATAATCCCGAAAAAACTATTTCTCATTTTCAAGAATTATCTATGGATTAACCAGGTATTTTCATTTTTCAAACTTCAGAGGACTGGGAATCATTGATCATATTCGCTTTTGAATAATATAAATGCTGTTTTAAAGAGGTTTCATGTATGCCAATAGTTTCTCAAATTGTGTAAATGGTACACATTCCTTAAATCCCAAGAATTTTCTCTTTGAGGAATTTCCCATAGTAATCCAATGGTATAGTTCTAAGCAGATTTTGAGATAACAGGAAAGTGAATCTTTGATTAACACACCTTTTTGGGTTGTGATATAAACCAAAACAACTATTGTATTGTATTGATTTTTTTAATGAAAAACATGCTAAATGCTTGAAAAAACCCGATTCATTCTACAAACAACTCCCCCTCATTTTTTTATGCCAATTTTTCAAAAAATAAATCAATTAACAAAAGATTCTTCATGTATAAGACATGTTAAATAACTTATTAAAATGTTGTTCACTGCTTTAAATGGTGCTTTTGTATGACACAAAACAGTAATATTTAGGCTGCTAGGTATGAGGTTGGTCCTGTAAGTGAGTGGGATATAATATATATATCGCCAACATTAATATAAAGCAAAATAATCGACAGAAATATAGAATTTGTGTATAAATATTTTTATTATATATTTTATAGTAAAATATTGTCAGTTTAGCTCCAAGTTATTTTCCATTGATATCATCATAAAATATTGCAATATTTAATGCAGGTGTTTATACTGAATTTGAACATGACTGTATTCACGCCTTCTATAAACTGTGAACAAAGTCAATATTTCACCTGGGTTACATTCGCAAACAATACCCCTGTAGTGGTAATACGAGTAATGTGTGACGTCATAACGGCGGACCGTAGTAATGGCGGACCATTAAATGAATTTTGAAAAATTTTGGTGAGTTTTCATCTGTTCATGTTCAAATTGTAATATAGACCCCAGGGCAGGTGTAATATAGATGAATACACCCCTTAGGGCTAGGCACAAAAGCTTTCGAACCCCTTACTCCCTTTGGTCATTCGGGGTACAGAAAACGTTTGTGCTTAGCCCTGTGTGGTGTATTTGTCGATATAACACCTGCTCTTCGGTCTCCAATATTTCTTAAATATTTAATATAAGGCCTATTTGGATGTAATACAGTATTGCATGTCCGAAATTGAAATATAGCAGAATTCAATCCATTTCAATTTATTTGTGGATATTTGTGTTTTATCTGCATTGTGAATAGTAGGACTTCAATTCCATGAATTTATATATTGTTCATGTCTATAAATGCAATCTTAAGTATGTCATTTTATTAAATGCATAATTATGCCCAACTGCTATAGCACTTCAGTGGTCATTAATCTGCAGATAATTGTGGGGACAAAGTATTTTTCATACATTCTCCACTTTTACATACGAAGCCAGGGCAACATTTTAAAACTCTGGAAAAAATCCAAAATGCTTGAGACAATTAGAAATTAGCATCTAATTTCATTGGTAATCATTTGTGGCACTTGAAATTTGATGTAACATTACAACATTATGATGATGATTACATCACCAACCTACAAACAGAAATACTTGAAGACATAAAATATAGTACAGTGAAATTCTATATTTGAGACCCATGCCCCATACATGATATATAAATACATATTGCGTGAAGGAATGTTCTACATTCACTAAAAGCTGCCTTAATGATACAACTGAAGCCATAGACCCATGCACATACCCAAATGCATTGAAATCAATTGTTTTATATCAAACTTGTAATTAATTAATTGACTTGCAAAATATGCAGATTGCCAGCTATGTAAACTAAATATATAATAACAAAAAATATAGCACATGTCCTATAAATGTACATGTCCTTTAAAGCAACTTGTATCATGATATGATGTGCTGATTTAAATATCATTCCATTACACTTAAAATGATTAGGAAACAAAGGCTTTGTAACAAAAAGGCAATCTGAACAATGAGAATTTTTATGATAACAAATAATTAATAAAATAAATTATTTCTCACATTTTTAGGTTTTACTGTAATTGCAAATATATTATAAAACACCATACTCTCATGTACTCACTGTCACCATTTTGTTACATAGACCATGTTTCCTAGGACTGCAACCAATCAAAGCAGACTGAATATTAAAGAACATGCAATATACTGCAACACAAGTACATAAAATAATATAGAAAATTATACAGCCTGAAGATTACCAAACAATGATAAATTGCTGAAAGAATCATAAATTGGTACTGAACCTTGTGAAGATCTTTACAATATGATTGTGCTTATTAAGTTGCAGATAAGCTTTCAAACGTGTCTCGCACATTCACAAGCTTAAAGTGAATAATCCATAACTAGTACAGTAAATCTTTAAGAGGAACCATGGCCATTCAATCTCTATTGAAAGCCCATGGTGGAACACCTCTTTCCCTCAATGTCCTGTTTCTCATTTATAATCTTAATGTAGGCATAGAATGAACCTGTTAGTGGAACATCTCCAAAGTAAACAATATGATGTGGTTCTAAAGGCATTCTTTTAACACAAGATCTACAATATGCAGGCCGTAGCCAGGGGGGGTTCAATGGGTTCAACCCCACCCTGGCCAAAAAATCTTTCAAAATCATGCAGTTTTTCACCGTTCTGAGCACTTTTAAAGTGATTTTGGCCATTTTTGGACCAAAATTGTCACAAGTGAACCCCCCTGGAATTTTTCAAAAAGTGAACCCCCCTTGGCAAATCCTGGCTACGGGCCTGATATGTTCAAAGCATGTTATATTTCAGACTACCCTGCTGCTCTATAATACAATGGATATATAGTAAATATACAATGCTGGGAATGATTTATGAATGTAAGATCTAATAATAACAAATGTTTAATCTTGTATTAAGCAGTACCCAACACAACCTTTTTACAAAATGTGAGGGTATGCAACGTGGTTGTATGTCAAAAGGTCACCCCCTCGGTGTATTTCCTAAAGTGTAACCATTCGTTACAGACATCAAATACTGAATGCCGATACTGAAGCCAGGATTCAAAAATGGTGACACAAACAATATGTCTTGGTGATAACATTGCAAAGGTTCTGATTTTTTTCCAGACAAGGGCCAAATATCACCAACAACAAAGATTAAAAAATATGTAATCTATATGTAACACTTATTTGGCAAACATTTGCAATTTTTAAATTGACAAGTAAACCAATGACAAATATCACAAAAAATTTAACACAGCATTGTAAAATAAATTGAGATTTGACATAAAACTACAAAAAAATGTTCATCCCAACATGGCAAAATATATAGTAGCACCTCCACATAAAATTATTTCCTACTTTTATTCTCTGGAAATTTCATTTTTGAATGATTTAAAGCACACACAAGCTCTATTGGAAAATATGAACTTGATGAAACAGCCATTCCATTACATGTGTAGAACATTTTAATATGGTATTGATATAAAAAGCAGTCTTTAGTGTAGCACACGCCCATCCAGTTTCGCTCAGTTATCCATCTCCTACACTCATTATGTTCATTTGAGTAACATCCTGTCTACGGTAATCCAATGTGTATTTATGACATAATAAATACACAGAATGTTCACATATTTCACATTCAATGTAGGATTCTTATTATGGTGTGCTGCATAATTTATACTTTATAGCTAGCAACTTTGGTGCACTGCTCTAATTTTGAATCGTATCAATAACTCACAGCATGTCACGCACCTCTTGCATACACTTGGTGAATCAGCTAAAACATATACACCTTCTGCACAAGATTGGAGAGAGGATATTTTACTACATAATAAAGTAAATATGATCCATACACCCCAAAGTCAAAACATGGTCCTTGAAAGTAATTATACACACATTTGTGAGTGTTCATACATGTAGGTGTATTGCATCCAATATACACTTGCTAAGCCCTATACAATGTCACTTTTATCAATATGCACAAATGATGCATCCATTGGATCTTGCACTGTGTCTATGGGGCCTGTATGAAGACCCCCTAGCTTCCTTATCAACTCTGTTGTCTCTTGAGTCAGCTGCTTTGTCTCTGTGGTTTCCTTTGTTAGACCCATCAACCTGAAATCATTGACAATTTAATAGGACTCATGTTTCTCAATGAATACTTTAGCCTATAAGTAGTATTTTGCTGAATGTTTAAATTTTATCATTTTCCTAATTTTAATTTTCCTAATGGCAAGAAACTTCCCATTAGATAACATTATGAAAATAATATTTCCTACATTTAATTTTCCTAACCTTGCAGAATTTAGACAATGGGCAAATTAAATGATTAGGCAAATTGACCACTTATACAGTATGTTATGCCCAGAGCTCCACTCGGTAATGTTTACCTGCTAGGCCAAATTTTGACTTTGATTTTTTTTCAATAGTAGCACCATGCGATGCTATCAAGTAAAAACTGTAACAAATAATTAACTCTCTAACTTTTACTCTCTTACTCTACTTTACCTCCATTTATATCATTCAGCATAGTTCATGTATTTGCTCTCTAGTACTTTTACTCTTTTACTTTACTTACCCTCCATTTATATCCTTCAGCATAGTTTCTCTCTAGTACTTTTACTCTTTTACTTTACTTACCCTGCATTTATATCCTTCAGCGTTGCTCTCTAGTACTTTTAGACTTACTTTACTTACCCTCCATTTATATCCTTCAGCATAGTAGCTCTCTAGTACTTTTACTCTTACTTCACTTACCCTCCATTTATATCCTTCAGCATAGTTGCTCTCTAGTACTTTTACTCTTTTACTTTTACTTACCCTCCATTTATATCCTTCAGCATAGTTGCCCTCTTACTTTTACTCTGGATGCTGTTTACTTGCTTCTGTTCTCTCAGTAACCTTAGCAACGCCTCTGTGCTTTGCCTATATTCTTGTTGACACTACAAATACCAAGATCTTCATTCAGTATTGTATTGTATTGTATTATAAAATTTTATTTAAGTGTCATGGGTTATATAATAAATACATGTATAAAACAATTACATCATATATAAAATATCACTAAAATATACAATTATACAATTAACCTCAGTAACTGAGGCATAAGTTTTGGTTTATAATGCAGAAATACTTTTCACTCTCTCGGACTAATAATTTGGGAACAATGTGTGTTCATACTGTAGAACTGAACAATGTGAAAATAACAATTACATGTACTCAAAGTTGTCATTTGACGAAGATGGAAATGTTTCAAAAATTAAAAAAGTGTTAAAGGTATATTCCTTGCCAGACCATCTCTCTCCTAATATGGTTGGTATAACCATATATACTTTCCATATTTAGCAAAACGCGGAAAATGGATTAATATGGTCAATACAATCTCATAAAAATGTAGTGCTCAATTCGAGGAGGCTGCCATCTTTGAAGATTTCACTCAGGAAGTGATGTCATTGACTCTCAACTCTGCATATAGCATAAGGTATTAGGAGCTATTAAGAATTACAAAACCAGCTGGATATTCTTTCCCAATTTTGTCTATGATTTAATCTTTCTAAAAGTCTCTTCTTTTCTTCAGGATAGAAATAGTGTGGACAGGAATGCCCCTTTAATGTTAAAATGTTCAAAATTGTATATATAAACATACAAGTCACAATACAGATTTCTCAATGTGTTTTGTTGCACTTTCACGTCAAACCTACCATATCTAGCAAATGAGAGAAGTGCCCATATTTCTCTGTGAACTCATTGACCATTGTGTTAATAGTTGTATGGGACTGCCTCCTCTTACTCAGTTCTCTGAAATTGAAATGGCAGATTTTTAGCAGAAAGTGACAGAGACAATATAACATGGGTGGCCCCTTGAGACACATACAGATTTCCTTCAGGATAAACCCTGTATCCTTAACCACCCAGTACTCAAAGCCCATGATAACACATATATAACATGTATACAATATACCTATCCATTTCATGCAATACATGTATGTCTGTGCTCACATATTTTTATATTACGTTAGCCTTCAGTTTTTCACCCTACTATAAACCATGGGATAATGCATACCTGCCAACCTAAGACCAAAATTTTGCGGTAGATTTTTTTAAAATTGCTGTATTTTTGCGGTAGATTTTTTCAAAATACGGTAGTTTTTGTGGTATTTTTCAACAAAATTGCGTTAGTTTTTGCGGTAGATTTTAGAAAAAAACGGTAGTTTTTGCGGTATATTAAAAAAAACTGTAGTTTTTGCGGTAGATTTTAAAAATACGGTAGTTTTTGCGGTAGATTTTAAAAAAATACTGTAGTTTCAGAGGTTTGGGGTAGATTTTTGAAAAAAGTGTAATTTTGCGGTAGAAATTTGAAAAAAGCGGTAGTTTTGCGGAAGATTTAGAAAAAATGCGGTAGTTTTACGGTAGATTTTTAAAAATGCGGTAGTTTTTTTGAAAAAACCGGTAGTTTTGCGAAAGATTCTGAAAAAATGCGGTAGTTTTACGGTAGATTGTGAAAATTGCGGTAGTTTTTACGGTAATTTTTTGAAATACCGGTACTTTTGCGGAAGATTTTGAAAAATGCGGTAGTTTTACGGTAGATTTTGAAAATTGCAGTAGTTTTTACGGTAATTTTTTGAAAAACTGGTACTTTTGCGGAAGATTTGCCAAAATGCGGTATTTTTCGGTAGATTTTGAAAAATGCGGTAGTTAAACCTTTATACAATGCGGTTTTCTATATTAATACAATGTTTACGTGGTCATATTGTTGTTGTTATTGTGAATACATATTTTACTGCAAGAGTGATTTTGATAATTACAGTTTGTAAAGCAGAACTACATTTCAGCAAAATGTACATATACAACTTTTTTACAATAAATCTAGATTGATTTAAAATACGAACACAATATTCATATCTCCACTTTTACTCACCTTCTAACCAGTTTTTTTAGATATCAGGATGTTTGGAAATTCCATGAATGAAACATTTACTGAAATACAAAATATGGATTTTACACGTTTTTACTCACCATCTTAGATGATCTATCATTTTAACGAATTGAAATGACAGACATAATGTTCATATAACATTGGAATCATATGGTATTAAATATTGATTTGTTCACTCGCAAGTCTCTAATGATATCAATGTGTTTGTCTGGCACAAATAGAAAATAAGTACAGATCAATTGTCTTTCAAAAATAATTTGTTATGAGCATTTGCCGAAACCTTTCCCCTGAGACATAGTTCAGATTCGGATATCACAATACTTTTATAATAAACCAGAACTCAATGCTTTATTTTTTAATTAAGCATTTTTTACTGATAATGTGTTCTGATGAAAAATACAACATTTTATCGTTCTGTAAACAAATTGATTAAACTATGTATAATGTATATGTGTCGTTCATTACTGATCATAACAAATCAAACTACGCATATTTCATACGCTAAATATGCATACGCATTTCCACTCATTTATTTAGATGAAGCGCAACTAAAATCATATTTTTGTTGCATTCGGAATAAAGATCCGTGTACAAAAGGGTTTGGTTAACTACAAAGATCATGGCAGAAAGAATTCTTTCTAGCTAGTGGTAGTTGGTGTTTGGACTGATTACACGCAAGCTTACTTAGATAAATGCGCAATAACCTGATAACCAAAGACCTGCCGATACCGGGTTGGTGAAGGAATATTACAGGGACAGTACAGGAAGACTTCAATTTTTCAGCATTTCCCAATAACAATAACGGGAAATTTTACGGTAGTTTGAACAAAAATACTGTTGATTTTAGCAGAAATACGGTAGATTTTCGAAAATTTACGGTAGATTTTCAAAAATTTACGGTAGATTTTACGGCCGTTCTCATGGAATAAACGAGTTTTTTACAAAGAAAATTTACGGTAGATTACGAGAAAAATACGGTAGATTTTTTACGGGCGTTTTTACGGGAAAAAATGGTATTTTTTTACGGTAGTTTGTCATTTTTTACGGAAAAAACGAAAAATTTACGGTAGATTCCCGTGAAAATACGGTAGGTTGGCAGGTATGTAATGAGATACTAATTTGGGGCAAAATAATAAAGTGGAATCAGTGTTGTACATATGATTGACTATGCCATTTAAAGCCACTTTGTTTTTTTGGACTCACCCCATCCATGACGCAAACTTGTCGTATAGTGCTTGTTTGTTACCACAGCAACTGGTCAACTGGTTCTTAGCCTTCTTACAAATCTGCTGCAGCTTCTCTCTGAAACAAACATTTTTCAATATTTTAATTTTGGAAAATATTGTTTGGGCTCACAATGAAGGATTCCTACAAACTAGTTTCTTTGGTGTTTTATAATGGCAACAATGCATTGCATTTTCAAAGACCATTAATTTTATAGGTTATTGTTATTTATTTCTATAATATTCAACATAATTATTTACATAGATTGTGAGGGGCCGAGGCTACATAGCATTATTGGCCCCCCTCTAGAAAGTTAAAAACATATAATAAATCACTGGAGTGTGTAGGATTGCAACGGACAGACGGTCGTCCACCAGGTCTTGCCCATGATGATGTATATGAGTGTTAATGAGAGATGATGTGAAATGAGGAGGATGGTCATTCTAAGATGGTATCGATATAATTTGAAGATAGTTGAAGGCATTTTGTATTCAGTTCACTATTTAAATTTTCATCTCCATAAAGTATAAATTCTATTTTTTGCTTTCTGGTTTTTCCAAAATAGCACATAATATCAAGATTGTCTAACTTTAGGATGTTCTGTAAGTAATCATTTCTATGTATGGCGGTTAGAGGGCAGTCGAGTAAAAGATGAATCTTATCTTGATTTCAGTGGCCGCAGGGGCAAGAAGGATCTATGATGTTGTTGAAATTATGTCTAAAAAAGTCACTTTTAAGGGCAAGGTCGCTTCTTATTTTATTAAGTTTAGTTTCAGAAGACCTTTTCAAATTAAGATTTTTTGTTAAAATATTCTTTTTATGAAATGTATATTTCTTATTATAGTTTTTCTTGAAGATTGCTAGGGTTGGCGATGTTTTTATTTCAGTTGAAAGATTTTTCCAAATGGAGATAGGCTTTATGGCTGGTGAATTTAGGTATTTCACAGACGCTCTCACTGGTAAAACATATTCTCTTCTGGAGCGGAGCTCCCTTTCGGCACCAGGATTGGACAGTTTTTCATATATAGAGACTACATAAGAGGGGGTCAAATTTGATCGGACTTTGAACATGTGAATACTTTGTTTTTCTTCTCTTCTCTCCGCTAGGGTTTTCCAGTTTAAACATTTATATAATTTTTGCTTGCACGTACCATAAATCGCCCCGGAAACTATCAGGGCTGCTCTGTAATGGAGTTTGTCTAGTTGTTCCAGAGCACCTTGCGACGCCGAACCATAGATTAAAGAGCCGTATTCGATTTTAGAGAGGATGAAAGAAGTGTACATTGTTTCAAGATGTTTTGAGTTTACTCTCATTTTCAATGCTGATAGGGGATTTAGTAGTTTGTCAATTTTTGCTCGGACTTCGTTTATATGAGTTTTAAAGTTTACGTTTTTATCAAGAGTTACGCCTAAATGTTTATGTGAATCGACTCGGTCAATTGAATTGTTATTAAGTGTCAAAATTGGATATGGCCTTTCAAAGACGGTTTCTTTACAAAATATTATTTCTTTTGATTTTGAAGGCTTGAAGTTCATTTTCCAAGTTTGTGACCATTTAAAAATATTGTCAAGATCTTTTTGGAGGATTTCGTGAGTGTTCTGAATTGGATGATCTCTAGGTACAGGTAAGTAAATGGAGGTGTCGTCTGCATAGATGTAAGATGTTGAGTCAATTACTTCCGGTAAATCATTTATGTATAATAAGAAAAGGATCGGCCCAATTTGGCTCCCTTGAGGCACCCCGCTGTTTATGTAATTGTCTTCTGATAAATTTGATAAGATTCCGTTTACTCTAGTTTGAACTTTTCGATTTTTAAGATATGAGCTTATGAGATTCAAAGTGTCAGCACCAAAACCATATGATTTTAGTTTATGAGTCAAAAGGGCATGCGGGACTTTGTCGAAGGCAGATTCTACGTCAAGGAAAATTCCTCTGACGTCACAGTTGCAGTCAAAAGATTCATTAATAAAATTCGTTATTGCTATAAGTTGGAAGTCGGTGCTGTGACCGGGTAAAAAACCAGATTGGTTATTATAAAGTAAATTGTTTTCAAGGAGATGGGTCAAAATTCGATTTTGGATGACTTTCTCAAATACTTTGGATATTGTATTTAATAAAGAAACTGGACGGTAATTTGCTTTATCTGAACGTACTCCTTTATTTTTGAAAATAGGACATATAGTGGCGAGTTTCCATATGTCTGGAAAGCATTGTTCGTTTAAAATTCTATTAAAAAGCAATGATAGCGGTAAATCAATCGTCGACTCTGTCATAAGAAGCATCCTATTTGTAATACCATTGGGTCATTCCTTTTTGGAGGGGTTAAGATCTAGTAAGAGAGTTCTAACTTCCTCTCTGTTTGTTGAAATATTGGTCAAAATTTTGTTCGTTCGCATTTGGAGAGTAGGCAGGTCCCTTTGGTCAAAATCAAAATCGTGGTGGAATTTACTGGTAAAATGGTTTAACAATTCAGTCGCCTTATCTTTGTCGGTTGAAAATACTCGTGTCAGATCAGAGCTAAACAAAGTTGGAATGCTTGGAGTGAATCTAGTACCAAGGAGTTTTTTGATAGCTTGCCAATAAAATTTACTGCCAGAAGAAAAGGATTGAAGGTCATCACAAATCTTATTTTCATAATTGTCTTTAAGTAATTTTACCTTTTGTTCTACAATTTTTACTTGGTCCTTGTAGTTTGTTTTATTTATTTCTGTATTATTTCGTTTGAACTTTTTATATAATTTATCTCTTTTGTTTAACTCCATCTTAATTTCGTTATCGAACCATGGCATATCATTTGATTTTGAAATTTTAGTTTTAAATGGTATATTATCATTAAAAATAGATGTCAGTTTGTTAGTGACAGCTTGAGTTGAGGCATTAACTGTTCCCGTGGCAATAATATCATGCCAGTTTTGATTTAAAATGAGATTATTAAGATTATCTAAGTTGCAGCTTTTATATTGCCAGGTCTTTTTCTTACTTGGCTCACTATTAAAATGTGGGGATATATTTATATTAGTCAGGACTGTACTGTGATCACAATGCCCCATTAAGACCATTAATGCCAAATGATTTACCAGTTGAAGGCTTCCATATGCCCCCTGTAAAACCACTTTCAGCAGAAATTGAAAATATTTTGCAATCGTCAGGACAAAACGGTGTAGTCCTGGTAAGCTTTGGATCAATATTCAGCAAGAACAGAATGAAATATTAGCTAAAGCATTCGCCATGATGCCACAGACAGTCATATGGAGCTTTGAAGGTGAACCACCTGATAACCTAGGACAAAACACAAAGCTTTTTAAATGGTTTCCACAGCATGACATCTTGGCACACCCTAAAGTGAAATTATTCGTAACCCACTGTGGAGAAACTGTTCATCATGGAGTTCCAACAGTTGGCATACCAGTATCATGGGATCAGCTTTCAAACTGTCGTAAAATGGTCCAATGTGCGAAAATGGGAACACAGCTACCATTGCAGGATCTAGATACTGTAAGGTTAGTCATCGCAATGAAAAGTGTCATTTCTGACAGAGCATTCAAGCTGAATGCCATGAAAGCTTCTGAAGTTGAATATTTGTCTTAATTAATTCATTATTTTGACATCCCCTCTAACTTGTGCAAAATAAATTAAATTCGCTATCAACATTGTGAATAAAGTTCAAACAGCCCCCTTACCTGTCAAACCTATGTATCTGTTCATCACTGTAGCTGAGTGATCTGACAGGCTTCTGCGACTGGAATCTTTTATCTATGACTGCAGCATGGTCTAAGAGAACTCCCATCTTCTCACCACTGAAATGATCCAAATGTAGAAATACCCTATACATATATACATATGTAGACTAGATGAAGTCCCTGTAACCATGGTTACAACCCATAAGCAAATTACCATGATTGTGGAAGTTTTATTCTACTTGTCTCTTGTTATTACTTCAAGTCACATAACTTAATAGGTTGTCATGGGGATATGTGAAGACAAGTCCAATGAGCAGGCTTGTTATTGTGCATACTTGTGCTGTTTAATAAATTAGAGGACTGCTAATCTGATATCCTAGTTTTATCCTATGCCCAACAGAGTCTTAGGGAGATAAGTTGGTAAGATATATCAACTCATCGATAAAAATGATATCACTCAAAATGATCTGATATTCTGTATATACTAATAAGGCTTACCATTTATCATTCATGCAGCCAAAAGTTCTCTCCCAAGCTGCAAATAAGACACTGCCAGTGCTGTGAAATATTCCAGACATCTTGTCACATATGTCTTTCATATCTCCACTCACCTTAAAGAAGGAAAACACCAATCATCTTAAAGGCTATGTTTAACATGGATAAATACTTGTACATGTATGTATAAGACTGAGGTGTATTACTGGTTGAGAGTATAATATGTATTGTTAGTACCTCAGTTGAAATACTCGATTTTGATTGGTCAACGAGCGGTGAATAATTTTAACTGTACACCGCGCAATGCATTGCCGGTGAATAATATTCCCAGCATTCCACTAAAATGACGTCATTATCAGACGATAAAATGGCCGCCGCTAGCACTAGCCGTTTCAAAAATGTTGAAGATAAGGATATTTTTAGTCTCTTAGAGAGTAAAGACAGAAGAAAAATCTAAAACTTTGTACAAAGCTTTTAGTGGACTTCGCCCAGGAGAGTAATTTGACTCCATTGAGTGAACTTACTGCCGTGGCAGATGTAGATAATTTTTTGAAAAAGTTTTACGTTGGTATTAGAAAAAAAGACGGTGGACTTTATAAGTTGAAATCATTTCAGCTTCTTAAATGGGAAGTGGCACGATACATCAGAGAGACACTTAAGATGGACATTACCAAGTCTGAATTCAAGGCATCAAACGATGTTTTCAAAGCGATGGTTGTGGAACTGCAGTCAGGAAGTCAGGAAAAGGTAAAACCACCCACAAACCTGTGTTGTGTTCAAGGGTCAGAAAAATCTAAGATATTCTTCGGACTAACAAAACAATTATAGACCTCTCCATTCGGTTTACTGTCAAAATTATATCCCTCGACTGTAAACCTCGACTTTCGGTCTCGGTTTACAGTCTCGGGATATAATTTTGACAGTAAACCTTTGGAGAGGTCAATAATTGTATATTAGTGCATGACACTAATTTTCAGATTTGCAAATACTTTCAGTGGATTGGATCTCAATAGCTGAAATTCTTCAAGATTTGAAGGCTCTATTTAAATGCCACTAGAGATTGAATAAGATATCAATATAGCATTGAATCGTGGAAAAACAAACACAGAAAACATACTATCAATACATGTAAGAGTATAAATTAAATAAATATAAACTGAATAGAATAAATTGATAATTTAAAGATATACAATAGAACCTGTAAAGTGGAACACCTCTACAAATGGAATACCTCTGGCTCTGTTAGTGGAACACTTTTCAGAGTCCCGAGTCCAACTGTTAAATGAACCTCTATAAATGGAACAACACCCAAGTTGAGCACTTTTTAGAGGTACTACTTAGACAGGTTTTATTGAAATCAAAATATGAGAAACCTACTTGGGTAATCTCTGGCTGGTGTTTCCCCATTATAGTGTTAAGTTCTTGTATGCTGTCTGCCACCTGACTATACTGATCTTCTAAGAGGAAACATAACTGGCTGGTTATATGGTGACTCTCTATTAAATGAGCCAACTTCTTAGTAGCATCTACCTGCATCTCATTGCACTGGCTTAGACGTCTTTCTAGGGCCTCATGCTCATGTGTAGTCAATGTACTGTAATAATATAATGTAATATCTCATTGCACTGGCTTAGACGCCTTTCTAGGGCTTCATGCTCATGTGTAGTCAATGTACTGTAATAATATAATGTAAATATCTCATTGCACTGGCTTAGACGTCTTTCTAGGGCCTCATGCTCATGTGTAGTCAATGTACTGTAATAAAATAATGTAAATATCTCATTGCACTGGCTTAGACGTCTTTCTAGGGCCTCATGCTCATGTGTAGTCAATGTACTGTAATAATATAATGTAAATATCTCATTGCACTGGCTTAGACGTCTTTCTAGGGCCTCATGCTCATGTGTAGTCAATGTACTGTAATAATATAATGTAAATATCTCATTGCACTGGCTTAGACGTCTTTCTAGGGCCTCATGCTCATGTGTAGTCAATGTACTGTAATAATATAATGTAAATATCTCATTGCACTGGCTTAGACGTCTTTCTAGGGCCTCATGCTCATGTGTAGTCAATGTACTGTAATAATATAATGTAAATATCTCATTGCACTGGCTTAGACGTCTTTCTAGGGCCTCATGCTCATGTGTAGTCAATGTACTGTAATAATATAATGTAAATATCTCATTGCACTGGCTTAGACGTCTTTCTAGGGCCTCATGCTCATGTGTAGTCAATGTACTGTAATAATATAATGTAAATATCTCATTGCACTGGCTTAGACGTCTTTCTAGGGCCTCATGCTCATGTGTAGTCAATGTACTGTAATAATATAATGTAAATATCTCATTGCACTGGCTAAGACACTTTCTGGGGCCTCATGCTCATGTGTAGTCAATGTACTGTAATAATAAAATGAAATATCTCATTACATTGACTAATACACCTTTCTTGGGCCAAGGGCCTCATGCTGGTGTGTACTAAATCTGATATTGACTGGATCTCCATTCTAAAGTCATTGGTAATAAATTTAGTCTTTTTCGAAGTTACATGTATAAAATGTTAGGACTTTTTGGAAACCCTTATTGTTTCACACAAGACAATGTAAGGTAACAATGATCTAATAATATTGTAAAACAAGATGGCCACCCAAAAGTTAATCAGCTCTAGAACTTGATATCCCCTATCATGTGTGCGAATTTGGAGAAAATCCGATGACCAGTTTTCCTAAAATGGCGACGACAAAAAAAGTGGGACAATCATGATAACGATAACAATCATGACGACTATGACGACTATATCCCACCGATGGTGTGATAAAAAGAATTTGGGAAACACAGGGACTTCATGTAAGACCATTCCCCTTGTTCCCCTTGGATGAACAGCTCACCGTAATGTGTGTACAGCATGGTGCATTTTTGTCTGAAGGAACACTGCATAATTCACCTCCCTGCTGATTGCATGTAGGACACTATGACATTCCCTGCATATGGAGGCATCCCTTGCTGGGTTCAATTCACTGGGGAATGATGGGTTCTCATCTATGGAATAAAGGTCAAGGGTTAATTATAGCATTGTACAAGTTGCAGCAATTGTATTTATGGTTTTCATAATGTAATAAGGTTATCATAGGGTGGGCCAAAAAATATCCGTATTTTCTATTTCTATTTAACTATTTCCAAAATACTTGGATTTCTATAATATTTTTGCAGGGCATGTAAGAGTCACTTTTGCAAGTTATATCAAAGTGAAAAATATGGACATTTTTCTGTCCACCTTGTATCACGGGGTACCATCGAATAATTTTGGCAACGTACCGGAGAACGACATTTTACTAAGAAATGGCAATAATTTAGCACAATACATTTTTTAACTAGAGTTCTACTTTGATTTTGACAAAAGTAAGTATTCCATGCAATGGCTATTTCATTCATGAGTTTGTAGGAATTCTGTTGGAACCCAGTTCTGATCAAGTACGAAGTTATTGAAATCGGCGCAGTCGGACTTTACTCCGAAAGATGGTTTTTCGATTATAACTTTTTACAACATTTAAGTATAGACTTTTGAAAAAAAGTACAGAATAGTCCTTATACTATTGAATAATTCTGTTATTTCTGATTCACACGACTCTGATTTGTTTAATTAAAAAAAAAGCTTTTAAAATAATACTTAGGAACGTAACCGGAGCTGGAAACGTAACCGGAGCAGATCAGTTGAATTATATAATTAAAAAATAAAATATATGATTTAAAGCATATAAGAGGGTATATCATAAAGTTCTCATAATATCTCTCTAACTTTTTTATTTTTCAATATATTCTGATGACTTTTTCACGGAATGTGTAGTATAGAAAGCTGTATTAATCTATCAAAAAATATTTGGTATAACAAAAATATTATTTAAGAAATGGTTGCCATAGTAACCCGAAATCAAGGTACCCAGGGCAAAAAAAGAGTTGTGCAAGAATAGCCCCAACTAACCATGTTTAAATGCATAATAAGTTATCAAATAAGCTATGAAACACATCAAATTGCTAAATGCCATGAGTTCTTGACTGTTTTGAACAATTATAATGGTCATGTGAATTGTGTGATCTCATAATGGATGATTGTAATGCTTCATTAGAAGTGTTGTTAGGTACTACAACTGTTTTGTCAAATATTCCAAGGAAAGTCTATTTCCCCCCTTTAGTTTATCTTAAATATGTTTAGACCTCAAATAGGGGGTAATTTTGTTGATACCTTTGCAACATATTTGTTTTAGATCATCTTTAGTATGATCAAAGAACTTTTCGAACTTAATCAAACTTTTTGTCAGTATGAATTTTATTTTTCTGATGATCTCTGCATCTATGCATTATCTTACTCTGTCATTTCTGATCATTAAGCTTTGATTCTCAGAGTCTGGTATCACATCTAATGAAGCATGTAAGCATCTCCTAAGACATCACATAATTCACATGATCAATTTATTTTATAGTAAAAGCATTTAACAACATATTTAACATAACATTTTAATGTGTTTGATAATTTATGAGAGTTTATTATGTATGTAAACATGGTTAATTAAGCTCATTTTCTCAATTATTTTTATTTGCCCCGGGTGCCTTGATTTCCGGTTACTATGGCAACCGTTACTCATTTAATTTTTCTGTTATACCAAATATTTTTTGATAGATTAATACAGTGTTCTATACTGCAGATTTCATGAAAATTTCATTAGAATATATTGGAAAATAAAAAAGTTAGAGAGATATTATGAGAACTTTATGATATACCCTCGTATATTAATAAATACGCATTCCAACAATCCCGTATGTTTTTAAATTAGTATATGTGCTTTAAATCATATATTTTAATTTTTTTGATTAAATAATTCAACTGATCTGCTCCGGTTACGTTCCCAGCTCCGGTTACGTTCCTAAGTAATATTTTTAAAACTTTTTTTTTAATTAAACAAATCAGAGTCGTGTGAATCAGAAATAACAGAATTATTCAAAAGTATAAGGACTATTCTGTACTTTTTTCAAAAGTCTATACTTAAATGTTGTGAAACGTTATAATCGAAAAACCATCTTTCGGAGTAAAGTCCGTCTGCGCCGATTTCAATAACTTCGTACTTGATCAGAACTGGGTTCCAACAGAATTTCTACAAACTCATGAATGAAATAGCCATTGCATGGATATTCGATGGTACCCCGTGTGTATATGCATTTCAGTAATTTTATTTGTTGGCACACTACACAAATTATCTTGACAGCCTTTTTGGGTATGTAGTAAATCTCTGTAAGTAGAACAATTCTGGTAGCTTCGACACTCAGCGTGCAGCAGGTTCTGGTCGGCAGTCCACAGCTGGTGACATTTTGCATGTTAATGGCTTGTACGTCTTTGTATTAGTGCACAATAAGGAAACTGGTGTTTCTTGGGAAATTTATTCTAGGTGTCTGCTACATTGAATATTTGAATTAGTGGAATACAATATACAGTTAGTATAGGTCATACTTACACATAATACTACCAAGACCACGATACTTTTGATCCCCAATGTTAAACAAGAACACAGGCATATCACGAGAGGTTTTCGGGTAATCAGTGGCTAATGTGCTTGCTGTAATGTGATTGGTCAGATATTCTCCATCCCATAATAACAGCTGTCTCTCAGGTGAAATGTCTGACTGTTCCTTCAGCTGTTGTTGTAAATCATGTAGGCTGGAAATATGCAGTGAGGGGTTATTTTTTAGCTATGAGATAAATTGTTACTATTACGTCATGTAATGGGACATTGAATTACAATACAGTACTTACAATCTCAAGACATTGTTAGGAGGGGGAACACGGTGTTATAGCATGACGGTTACAACACCTCTGAAAACGAGATTAGACGACTACGATCACTGTTTTATCCAATAAAATGGCTGCGATGGAACAGAAAACTAAGGTTGGTGCATTATTTTCTTCTACTGTGTATCAATGAAAGGATGAACGATTTTTGTAGGCATCGCATTCGGTGATGCATTTAGTAATGTATATTTTGAATGTATTCTTTGCAAATTGTTGCCTGGGGATAACATGAAATAAGCGAAAAACTGTTGAGCTTGAAATTCAAAACTACACAAAATTTTAGTAAATTGTTTATTTTTGTCGTTAGGGCATGGTCTACATTGCCTAACGACCTCGGGGTATATAGATGTAACCTACATACGATCATAAAAAGCCAATTGAGCATTGGAAACCACCTAATATGCTCTACTTAAGCCATAATATTTTTTTTTTAATTTGCCGTTACGCAAAAAATTGATTGACGGTTACGCGAACCTCGTTCAAATATGTATCCCAAATTCATTGTTATTAATTTTGTCATATTCATCAGTACTTGATACTAATTCTTCTTTTGCCTCTTCATTGCTATCTTTTTGACTTAAATTGGTTTCATAAATAAAGCAAGACACAATTTTTTCCTTGCCCTATAGAGGCTCAAACAAGAGCGTCTCTTGCGAGTCCTGAAAACAAAAATATAAGCAATTCAATATTCCATTTCTTTCCCATTATAACAATTACATGGAAATAGGCTATCAGTACTAGCAACCTTAACTTGAAAGATGTACATGCACGTAACCGTCCGCTAAATATCTAATGTACATCTAATAAAATATGTAACCGTCTATAGAATTCATACATAGTCGTCTAATGGCATTGCGTTTGAAACCTTATTATTTACAATATGACCACGTTCCTGTTCTGGATTTGTCATTTTATGGCTTGTTTATACACAGTTTACTTACTGTTAATAGTTTGAGTGGCTCTGAGGCACATACATGTATACTGAGAAATCACAAGAATGGACTAAAAAATATGAACTTGGACATCTCAGTCGGTAAGTTTACAGCTTATATTCCGCTTCTAGTAAACCACCTGGCAGATTTGACCCAGTCTTTATAACCATCCATATATACGTCACCCAATGGAACTAGTTGAAAAGGAAATCTTATCTGTGAATCTTGCCTATAGGCGAGAAAGAGGACATGCTGTCTCTCCCATCCGCCATTTTTTGTTATCATTATACCGCAAAATTTTGCAAATCGCCTTGACGTAACCGTCATGCTATAACACCATGGAGAAGTAAATAAGGCCATGGAAAATACTAATTCAATTATGTTCATTTTTCAGGAAAAGAAAGAAGAGGCTGTGTATGAATAGCTCCTGTTGTCAGTAAGTTGTAAAACATGATGCCCTGGACACCTGCTCAAATGACAGTTGTACTAGGAAAATATGATAATGCAGTCAGAGGTGACTGCCACAGCAATAAAACCAAATAACTTTCTAACCATGGTGTTTTGGCACTTCACAGTCATGGTCAAAATGCCTTCTTAAGTCTCCCTGAACCAAGGCGTTTGACTGCGATTTGAAAGCATTTCAACCATGACTGTAAAGTCCCTGAAGTGATTTTGATTTCACTCTACAGATTTACCATACAGTGAATGAAGATGATTTGTGCCAAATTTGAAGAGCCAAAACACTATGGTTAGGAAGTTAATTTTTCTGCGGTTGCAGTCACCCCTGACTGCGTTTTTCCTATTTTCCGAGTACAACTGTCTTTTGAGCAGGTGTCCAAGGCATCTTGTCTTACAACTTACCATTTACAGGAGCTATACATACACAGTCTCTTCTTTATTTCCTGAAAATATGAACATAATTGAACCAGTATTTTTCAAGATATAGCGATTTTTTGGGTTGCGTTTTTTTTAACACCCTGCACCTGCCGTGCTTCCTGTTAGCTACCATCTCTCAATTCATACCAAGTCGCTGGCCTAAATAACGAGTTAATCTGCCTATTTAGCAGCATGTAATAATGATCTATGTTCTGTTTGCCACTTTGACCGAGCGGCTCTATCATAATCGATCCTTTCATTGGCATAAAAATCAGGTGATCACTATTTGTTGACTGACATAATTACAACTTCAAAATGATGAGTTAATTTATGAAAATGAATAGGTTAATCCGGTAGCCATTAGCCGCCATTTGCATTCGCGAATACAAGCTTAGTAAACATGACTTAAATATAAAAGATGAAGTTAATTATCAATACAATATCAAGGAAGAAGCTGTTGCAATTGGGACCAAGAAACTAACAAAATAAAACAATTTTAAATGTGATATCCAAAGAGTATAGTAATGGCAAAGTCTTGCAGGGATACCCAATTTCATAAGTATGTTAAAAGTAAGTTAAAACATAAGTATGGCAGTTTAAATTTTAGAAAAACTTGATACATGATGTATTCTAAATTACAGTAGCAATTAGAGTGTTTTACAGCCTTTAATTATTAGATATTGAGTGTCTACAGACTACATAGTAGCCGAGACAACACAAGTCCCAAGTCTGTATTTTTACTCTCATTTCTTCACTTTTAAGACTTAAGTCACCACATTTTGCATGCATATTCCTTGCGGAAATCCTAACATAGAATTTTATTGGTTTTGATTATAACTTATTTGTTGAAAATATAGAAACATTTGATTCTGATTGGTCTATAATCAAAATTTGCCATTTTCAGCGACAAATGCATTATTTTAACTTTATATAAAAAATCACTCATTATTCCAGTAACCATTTTAATCAAATGAATGATGACATATTTGGTATCATCTTTAAGCTTGTAATGTGTGTGTTAATTTGGTACCCGTATTATGACGTCAGATGCTATATATTGTGACATCACAGTAGTAACAAACAATCTTAAAGGGGAAATTAAGCACCAAAATGCGGCAAAATAATGGTGTGCCTCCACCACTGTTTTGCCAATTCACTGCTTGCCACAATCAATGAATGCATTTCTCATTGGGGTACTCTTCCAATGCATGATCTGATGACTGGCAAAAAATATCTAGGATGATAGTTATTGTCAATAAGATTAGAGACACCATATTGTATCTATCATTTATAACTTCAATTTTTATTAATGACGTCAAAATGTTGCATTTGTTACACAAAATGGATAATTCTGATTATGGACCAATACAAATCAAATGTTTCTCTATTTTTAACAAATAAATTATAATCGAAACCAATAAAATTCTATGTTAGGATTTCTTCAAGGAATATGCATGCAAAATATGATGACTTAACTCTTAAAAGTGAAGAAATGAGAGTAAAAATACTTGGGACTTGTGTTGTCTCGGCTACTATGCTATAATTATCCCACCAAACGAAGCTCGAGAGGGATATAGAGAAGATGTCTGTTCATCTGTCTGTCTGTCTGTCTGTCTGTCTATCCCTTCGTCCCTTCGTCTGGGCGATAACTCAAAACTCAAATACTGGTTGACGGTGCCAATTCAAAATGGCTGCCATTTTTCGTAAAAAATGTAATATTTGATGAATCAAATACTAGTGGACGAATTTGGTGTTTGGTGCAAATTTTATATTTTTAAGATGGAAGCTGAATTTCAATATGGCCACCATTTTCCGTACAAAAATGTAATCTTTGATAACTCAAATACCAGTGGATGGTTTTGGTCCAAATTTTATAATATGATGCCTCCGAACACAGAAGCTTTGCTTGAGAAGAAATTTTCAAGATGGCAGCTCATTTTCAAAATGGCCACCATTTTTCATAAAATAAAGTCATCTCTGATCACTCTAATACCAGTGGTCGGAGTTGAGTTCGCAACCATTGAGGGAATCCCCGTCAAGTGACGCGGGCATCGGCACCTGCCTTGAGCCAGGCCAGTGTTTTATTAGTTTTCAAAATATTGGAAGTCATATTAAAACATGAGATCATAAGACAGAGTAATTCAGTCAAAGGGACAGTCTCATAGAGAAAAATAATATTTTTTAAATATATCATAAATCACACAGGTAAATACACTTCATTTTTAATCTGGTATGGTCAAATGTTGATTTTCACCCTGCTAAGAGAATATATTTTTAGCAGCTAAGTAGAAAAAGGGCATATAAGTGAAGACTCACGTGTCTGTCTGGTCCAGGTATATGATATGACTGGTGCCCTGGAATGTATTAAACATATGGACCCTGACTTTCTTGCTAAGTGCTGCAGTGCCGTTGAAGAAATCTTCAAAAGTTAGCAGTTTGTCTGGGTTACACTCCATTAGTGAAGACAGCAATGTAGTCAAAAGGATCTTCAAACCTCTGAAATCAAATTTTTTCAATCGTTCAATAATTTTAAGTTTTTTATAGATTTAGTTATACGTGTACTTGTATATTGTAAATTGCTTTTATTTGCCACTATTTGATTTGGCAGATTGGGTAAATTTTGAAAATTCAGGTGCTATACACTCTAAAAAAATATTACTTGACAGCTAGCTGAAGTAATTTGATTGATAACTAAGTAATTTATAAATTACTTGTGTCACCTAAAATGTAATCATATTACTTAGTAATTGTTTATTTGTGTGAATTACTTACTTTAGTAATTGTAATACTTTATTTGTAAATAAATTGTTTCTGTTTTTGTTTTATTTGCATATAAAAGTAATAATATTACTAGGTAATTTTATTCCCCATTTGCATTTTAACATTTCATTAATAGTAATACTAGCAATGTAAATGAATTACTATGTTTAATAGCATTTAATTGAAAATACATTATTTAGTCATTCTTTTAACATTCAAATTACTATATTGAAATATTATAATACTAGCAATGTAAATAAATGGTACCAAATAAATGTTTAATTGCACTAAATTCAAATTACTGAGTAATCTTTTTAATATTTGAATTACTTTATAGATATATGATAATACCAGCAATGTAAAGGAATTACTAAGTTTAATTGCATTAAATTGGAAATACGTTACTGAGTAATCTTTTGATATTTAAGTTACTATATAGCAATAGCAATGTTAATGAATTAATATGTTTAACTGCAATAAAATGATAAGATTATACTGAGTAATTCTAATACTTAGTATTCTAAATTTTTAAAATAGTAATTAAATTACTTAATGTAGTTTGATATCATGTTTTTTAATATTTTTAAAATCAAGATTTAATTCTTTATTAAAAGAAACTGTAACAAAATTATAAAATTATAAATTTGCAAAGAACTATGTCAATTTTATGTGAAGCTGATTAACAAACAATTAATTAATGCTAACTCTATTTGATATTAACCTAATAAGACAAACTCTATTTTGTGGTATTCAGTTAACTATTAGGTCTGGTCCCCAAAAGTAAGGTTACAATTTGTTCAAAGTGCTGCATGTAATGATGGACATATGTGTAAACTTGAGAACAAAAGAATTCTCTTGATAATATGTAAATAAATCCTAGCCAAGTTAAAAAAAGAAAAAAAGTCTTGAACAAATTATTCAATTTCTAATTAGGTAATTTCAATACTTAAGTAATATAATTACTTAGTAATGTTATCCTCAAATATAAAATACCCTTTGGAACAAAACAATTACTTATAGAATAGAGTAAAATAATTACTTAATAAGTATAATTATTTATAATTCAAGTAATTTTTTAATTACTCAATATAGTAATTCAGTCAAAATAATACTATGCTAGTAATATAATTACAAAAATGAAAAACCCTTTGGGACAAAAACAATTACCTGACCTAGTAATTAAATTACTTGTGAATACAAAGATAATACAAACTTAAGTAATTATTTTTTAGAGTGTATAATTTGGCGGATTTAACCATCACTAAAATACAGATATGGGAGAGCTAGCTAGAGGAAGTCAAGTGTCTGGGTTACTCTTGGGTGACATAGGGAGGTTTTACTTTTATATATGAGTTAAAATGTAAAAATGGGGTTACAATCAAAATATTGAAAGGATTCTCAATGAGACCTGAAGTCCCGGGATTTGGCAATTTCTATCAATCCGCCAAATCAGCCAAGGTCTGTTCATACATTGACTCAGGGACTCAAATTCAATTTTATCAGATGCAAGTTCATTGTGGAATATTGGAATAACCCAGCATCTTTATTTTTATGATGTTTAATGTAAGCATTGGCTATCTTACATAGACATGGCACAGGATTCAGGGAGTGCCTTGCTCCATTTTATAGGGCCATTAGGAGTCTCTTGTACACCTGATATCACACCACTCTCCTTCTCTGTGGTTATCCTATGCCTGAAATTAAAGAAAATAACGAGGCATTAACACGCAAATGTTACCACCTGCAATTTGTTAAAGATGCAGACCGCCAAACACCAACCACCAACCACCGAACACTGTCCACAAAAAGTGACATATTATAAGTAAATTAATTAAGAAATTAAATTTGTTTGGAGACATGATTTATTTCTTGAGGAAAGGTGATTACATTCAGGGACTTTTCAGGTATTGGATTTTGGGGTTAAATTGAGATGACAGCGATTGGTAAAATGAGTTATCTCTATGAGGACATACCACAGGGACCACTTACTGTATAAGTTGTAATTTTGCCTAATCATTTAATTTAATCATTTTCTTATTGCCTCATTTTTGGCAGGTTCCAAAAACATCTTCATAATGTTATCCAATGTGAAGTTTTCTTTCAAGAACTAAGTGATATATCAAAATGAAGCAAATCATGAATTAAATAATTGTAAAAACGGATTAAATTTATGGTGAAAATCATACCAATGTCATGGAAAAAGTATGATGGTGAATTGAACTATTAACTTTCTAATTGTATGTACTAATCTTGGAGATTAATAAATGGATCTAAAATATACACCTGTCTGATCATGATCAGAAACAATTGAAGATACAATCCACTATATTTCTGTCTAATATTGTTTGCCTTGCGGCATTTTTACATTCAAACAATAATACGTATCAATTCAAGCTATAGTATTTCAATTTCATCGTGCATTTCCATCATGAACACTATTGGGCCTGTCAGCATTAGCCAAGGGTGTTCACTAGTACTTTTTCAAAAAAACTCCAGGGGGTGAACATGTGACAACTCTGGCCCAAAATCACTTTAAAAGTGCTCAGAATGGTGAAAAACTGCATGATTTTGAAAGAATTTTTGGTCAAAGGGGGTCCCAGAACCCCGTCCCCTGGCTACGAGCCTGAGCCTATTTAAACAACAATCAAAGTAACAAGTGTAAGTGATTTACTCACTAAGAAATTAAGAACAAAATGTAACTCTTTTTGAGGCACACTCACATCATCTGTTTGTTCTCCCTGCCCCCATACGGTCTAAATGGCAGTTCCCCTGTTGCTACATGGTAAAGGGTAACCCCTAAACTCCAGAGGTCAACCTTAGCACTGAACCCTTCATCCTTCCCATGAGGAATCTGCAGCAATGCACGTCCATACATATCTGGGTGCTGAAATAGGAAAATAAAGTACTATATAAGAATGACGTACATTTAATTTCACATTAAAAAGAAACTACCTATAAATATACCTAATGGTGATGGAAGGTGAAATAACATATTATAGAGGCCTTAATATTAACATACCAAATATTCTTCTGTGCCACATAGGGACATAAAGGCCTGGTCATCTGCCAATTCCCGCGCTGCCCCAAAGTCTGTAAGCTTGTAGACATGCCCCCCATCCTCTGCTATGAAGCATAACACATTGCCAGGTTTAATGTCCCTGTGTACTACACCCTTGCTTCTAAGGTGCTCCAAACCAGCTGCTGTAATACATAGGACAAGAATATTGAAGCACATGGAAACTTGTTAAGTGGAACAACTCTGTTAGTGGAATACTTTTCAGAATCCCAAGACCTATTGATGTAAAGTAAAAAAGCTGAATACCTCTAAAGTGGAACACTTATCAGAGTCCCAAGACCAACTGACGTTAAGTAAAAAAGCTGAATACCTCTCAAGTGGAACACTTTTTAGAGGTACCAAAGGTTTTCCACTTAGACATTTTTTTACTGTACATGTAATTTACAATGTTGATTTTGAATAAAATTTGGTAGGGGCATGAGTGGAGTTATGGCTAAATGTTTCAAGATGGATGGAGAAATGGGCGTAAAACATGCAAGAGGGTAGCAGTCAGTAAGGCAACAAACCACGCAATTATAAATAAGACAAAAAGTAGGCTATTTACTAAAATATTCCTACTTCTTTCAAGCTACAATCAACCACCTGGCCAATGAGACCTCTATGAAATACTGAATGTAATGGGTAACTCATTGGAGAAAACAGGGAATTCCCATATAAACTGTTTTTACCTATATCACATAGGACTGTGAGGAACTCCTCCTCGGGGAGACCAAATGAATTCTGTGGTTCAGCCAGCACAGAATAGAGACTCCCTCCTGTACATAGCTCCATCACTAGCACCTTAATACCAGTGTTTTTCTGAAAATACATATAACTACAGTATTTCAGAACAGTGATTCTTAAAACATTATAACATATGGAATGATGGGACTTATGACTGGTTGTTCACTTTGATATAAGTTTCTAACTGTTTTTATTTAAATATTTTTTGGTGTTTTACCTGCACGAAGCCTGTACTAATATGTTTCTGATGTTTTAGTCAGGAAGAGGGTCTTTTGAGAATATTCTTGAATAGGTAACTTAATGTTTGACAAGGGCCTTCAAATACACAAAAAATATTGATATTAAGTTGTTCTAAAAGTTGCTAAAAGAGTTTGGAATTAAAACATTATTAATTCAAAAGTTACACTAAACTGAAAAATGTTCAAAGGTTTGGCCCACCTTGATTCCAGTATGAATGTGTTGGATTATAATTTGATTTCATATTAGAAAGATGAGCCTGATAAATGTGTAAGAAAGCATCAACAATTTCCCTGTCATAACTTAGTCATCCGAACATACAGTTATTTTAACTTTAATTTTCATAATTATAACAACTGCCCCTAGCTAAATAAATGTTATGGACTGTTCAGGGGAAAGAAACGCATCCAGTATTTTCGTCTGGCACAACTGGAAATACTGGACGCAAACCTCGTACGTAGTCGAGGTACGTGTAATTTTACAACGAAAATACTGGACACATTTCTACCCCCTGCTGTTATATGAAGATATATCAGATAAGATAGCACTACCATTAGCTTCAGGTGCATGTTACAACATTAAATATACTGTATTTACACCTGCAGTCCAAAGTACACAACACATTGAAATTGCACAACTGACTAATTGAAAACAAAAAAATGTTGATTTTAATGTACTGGTAAAAGGGCAACCCATATTTCCAATTTTTACTTTCCCTTGTTTCACAACAACATGTCAATGCTCAAAGAATGGGATCTTATAATAAGCTCTAGCTCTAGCTCCCCCCCCCCCTATGGACACCCACCCATGATTATAGTTATGTGCTTTTCCTTTGACAAAATATGATACTGCTCCACAAATGTACATGTAATACTTCTACTGGAAAGTTATGAATAGATTTTATCGATGCTAAGTGAATACCATGTAATCAGTAAGTAACTTAAAATAGCATACGGACCCTCAGGGACACCTTTGTTTGATATAGTCAAGATTTATCTTGAAAAAGTTACAGGGCAGCCTTTGTTAAACTTTTTAAATGTTTGCTTTTCCATTAGTCAACATACAGTACAATTGCTGTACTTCTTAACACCATGATACTGAGCAACTTGCTGTATTGGTAATTCATTGTATAGATATTTCAAAAGCATTATTGAACACAGTGTGTCATGCTTGGGCGTCTAATACCCTCATATCAGTAGAAAAGGTTCTGTAATATATGTTTTCATAGAATAAAAATAATAGCCATTCTAACATGTCTCTTCTCAAGCCACAAAACAATTGAAATACCTAATAATCATTTTTGTATTTATTTTTGTTTATTGTAGTAAATTTCAGCAAATTGAGATCAAACAGCTGTGAATAAAATATAAATAAGATTTGGAGAGAGACTGATTCTAACGTGCATTTCCCTAGAACAAGAAGATATCTACAATGACTTCCCCCCTCCATATGCCACAGCCTACCCAGGGGTGCATACCTCATCCTCAACAGCCAGTAACCGTACAACATTTGGATGGTCCAGTTTCTTAAGGACGTCAAACTCTCTCATCTGCACAGCCGCAGGTCGGTACCTGCTCTGCATATTGAATGTCTTTACTGCACATTCTTCACCAGTATTCTAGAAAATATTTAACGTTAATGTTCATTCAGTACAAATACTAAAATATCTTTTATGGTATTCAGGGCATTTCACCCAGTTATTAAAGCAACTGGACATTTCACCCAGTTATTGAAGCATCTGGGGAATAACATGGTTCACCCAGGCTCCAGTTATAAGTGCATCTGGGCATTAATAGGGCATTTCACCAAATTATCAAAGCAAATGGAAATTTCACCTAGTTATTGAAGCAACTGGACATTTCACCCAGTTATTGAAGCATCTGGGGAATAACATGGTTCACCCAGCACCCAGGCTCCAGTTATTAGTGCATCTGGGCATTAATAGGGCATTTCACCAAATTATTAAAGCAAATGGAAATTTCAACCAGTTAATTATTAAAGCAACTGGACATTTCACCCAGTTATTGAAGCATCTGGGAAATAACATGGTTCAACCAGGCTCCAGTTATTAGTGCATCTGGGCATTAATAGGGCATTTCACCAAATTATTAAAGCAAATGGAAATTTCACCCAGTTATTAAAAGCAACTGGAAATTTCACCCAGTTATTGAAGCATCTGGGAAATAACATGGTTCAACCAGGCTCCAGTTATTAGTGCATCTGGGCATTAATAGGGCATTTCACCAAATTATCAAAGCAAATGGAAATTTCACCCAATTATTGAAGCATTCTTGACATTTCACTGTACCCTGTTATCAAATTAATTAAGAAAAGACTCTTTCTTATCAGATTCAAATTGGTAGAATTGTAATTTTACAGCAAGCTTTAAACCCCACATTGCCTTAATTTTACATTTTAAAGTTACAGGGCCTGAGTAGAAAGTTAAGCTCCCCTAGCATCAGAAGGATTTTGCCACTTGCAGTGTGTGATGTATTTTGCAGCTCTTAATGGGCCAGATTTTACACCTAAATTTCCTGTCGAGCACTGTACCTTATTTCTGCCTTTATAAACTGCTCCTGTGGCTCCACTTCCAAGAGGTTCATTCGTGAACCAAATATAATTCATAGACCCATGCAGGTGGTGGCTGCCCATTGTGATATTTATTGAATATGATACTAGTGGTTCAAGGTGTATTCAGATTTCAGGATGCTTTGGTTGACTTGGAAAAAACCTGCAAATAAAAAAAGTTTTGAGACATTTGACCATGCTGTAGAAGTTAGCTAGCAGGGGTGTCCCCAGGAAAGAAATTGAAAGCCCTGTTATTAACAAATGTGTCCAAGTCAAAATGTAAAAATGTGTGGAACGGTCAGCTTACACAGTCTATGTAACCATATGTCATGACTGTGGTAATGTTGAAGCCTGATATGACCGTGACAATCGTCACAAGGCCTGTTATGACTGTGGTTATGTTAAAGCCTGATATGACCGTGACAATGGTTGCGAGGCCTGTCATAACCCTGGTTATGTACAAGCCTGATACGACTGTGACAATCGTCGCAAGGCCTGTCGTGACTGTGGTAATGTTAAAGCCTGATATGACCATGAGAATGATTGCAAGCCTGTCATAACCCTGGTAATGTTAAAGCCTGATACATGTATGACTGTGACAATGGTTGCAAGGCCTGTCATGACCGTGGTAATGTTAAAGCACGATATAACCGTGACAATGGTTATATTAAATGACATTTAATAGCATGAGAATACTGTAATGAAAAATTTCATCGTTTAACTACCTTTAATATGTAAATCTAGACTACTATACATGGAACTCACATACGTTTATACTTAAAATCTTAGATTCATTTTTAACTCATAATTCATTTCCAATAGATAATAGATTATCTATCGAAAGCCCATGATAATAGCAAGAGGTGAAAAATAAAATAAGTCATAAATGTCATATAAATGGTACTGTCTGCCGCACCAGGCTTTCACGATAACACTAACCACGGTCACAGCTCTGTAAGTAAGTCTGTCTGTCTGTAAGTCTTGCAACAGATAGGGTCTCCTCCTTTCCGTACTTGGTATAACCTGATAACTTATAACCTATAGATAACATAACTTAAGGCGGGGAGGGGGCTTCTGTTCACTATGCAGTCTACTACTCTTGGTCGAGCGTGTCACCCCCACAGTGATAGTGCTGACTGTGGTCACACCCCCCTCTCTAATATTCTAATATCACAGGCTGGTATCGAAAGATTTGTCCGCTGTGACGGAGCATGCTATTTTTCATAAAAACACTAAGAATGCTCCACGATTTATTTTCATATGTTTCGTTATATCAAAGATAATTACTTACTCCATGCAATGGATATATCATTTGCGTGTAACCTTCACTTCTGTTTGAAGTCTAATAACGCTAGGAGTAAAATCTATTGAAAACAGCGCCAGAGTATCAAACTCTAAAATGTACCATTTCTTTTTTAATTTTTTAATGGCATGATATAGTGACACGATAATATTAACATATGTTTTCACCATAACTCTGAATGTATTAATGAAATATTAATGCATTGGGTCTTTTTAATTTTTTTATAAAAAATAATATTAATATTTTTTGTCCGCTGTGACGGAGTATTTTCACAGTTCACATTTGCAACTGCTCCGTCACAGCGGACAAAAAAACTAAACATTATTTTCTATAAAAGAATTAAAAAGACCAAATACATCAACATCTCATCTATACCTTCATAGTTATGCTGAAACCATGTGTAAATATTATCGTGTCACTATATCGTGCCATTAGAAAGTTAAACAAGAAATGGTACATTTTGAAGTATGATACTCCAGCGCCATTTTCAATAGCTTTTCTTCCCAGCGTAATTGGACTTCAAACAGAAGTGAAAGTTACCCGCAAATGATAACTCCATTGCATGGAGTAAGTAATTTTGTATGGTATAACGAAACATGTGAGTTAAAAATAAATCGTGAAGTATTCTTAGTGTTTTTATGAAAAATAGCATGCTCCGTCACAGCGGACAAATATTTCGATACCAGCCTGTGAATATAGGCTACAAAATGTGAGAGGGAGGGGTAACTTACTCCCTCGGTATGTGAATAGCTTATGTTCTTCCAGGTTCGGCCACACAATATATGCCAAGGGTTGATACAGGTTCCTTTGGATCTCGGGACTAAATATTCTAACCTCGAGGTTTCATTTCTGAGAAATTTTCAAAAAAAGAAAAAAGAATGTAAAAATTTGACTGTCATATTCTGTTTCTAGGATAGAAAAGCGCTTATACATATAGTTTTTACTTACCAGTAGATAAAAGACTAGAGCATAACATGATACACAATGCCTAAAACAATATATTTGGATATAAAATTACCAAATAAACGATGAGTAACTGTCATACTCTTTTATTTTGGTATCGCACTTCCGTATTCCAAAACGAGGCTTAGGGGAACCCCCTTTGTTCATCCTTTGGACTCCACGGATTAATAATTTAACTTGTACTCGCGAATGCAACTAACAGCTGTCGGCTACCCGTTATTACCAATTCATTTAGATATGAACAGAATAGTGGCAGGTATTCATATTTAAATGAGTTGCCCAAAAAAGTAGGTTAATCTCGTAGCAGTCAGCCGTCAGTTGCATTCGCGAATACAAGCTAAGACTCGGGCACTGAGGAAGGTAGTAGGTCTATATACAAAATTCTAGGATTCTCTTAGACACAGTGGCATGACCTATTACAATGACCTTTCGATGCTAATGCTAACAGTTCAATGTGCAGTAAGGTAGATACCCGGGGGGTAGGCTAGATAAGTAACATTGCCCCATCTAAAGTTTAATCGCTTTAAAAAGTCTCACCTTACTCCCGTCGAGAGCTACTTAGATTTTGAAAGTATAGCTCTCTATCGCTAGAATCAACAGCTTAAGAATCCTGACTTCAAAGAAAATTTCAGGGAATTCAGCTGACTCATGTTGCACATTATATACCTGAAAATGTATCCTACATCGCCATCTTTCATTCAGCTCAACTATAGAACGTCTCACTGCCCTATGTATCGATCAGGACTTAATTTTATTGGTCGTGTCAAAAGTTTTGGCCAGGTATATTCAATATGGCGGCTTGACGTTTCCCAAGTTGCGCATGCGTCGATAGTATTTCCGTTTAACCGCCATATTGGAAATGGGTATCGAACAAATAACGATTAGAACTCCTGATCGCCATAGAAGCACATCCGCGATCCTACATGCACGGGGAAAGTAGACACATATGAGCCCATATGTAGGCTACAGTTTGAGACAAACAGCAAGCCGCTGACTGGCGTTGATCAAATTTAGATGTCACAATTCTTCAGCTGGGAGATCCTCACGATGGAGAGCTATACTTTCAAAATCTAACATGGTAGCTCTCGACGTGAGTAAGTCTCACCCAAATGTTATCAAGATGTGGTATGTGAAACCTTTTGGGGAATTTTAAAAAGTGTTTTTTGAAGGACTTTTTGCTCGAAAATTTGAAAATTTATTTTAAAATAATTTTTAGAGGTCACACGCAACTTTTAATAAGCGATAATGCACACCATTGTATTGTATAGCGTTCATCCTCATGGATCTTTCATCGAAGACATTATTAGAAAATTGGTTGATAAATAAACGAGAAATGAACTCATCCATGTACATGAAAACGGTTCAGAGAAAAATGCGTTTTAAAATGTTAGTTCTCATAGAGACCAATGGAACAGCAATATTCAAAACATAGTATATTCTTCTTTTCAAGCAAATTAGACAATAAACATTGCCCCAGTTTATTTTGAAAGTTTACCATATTAAGAAAATATCGTTGAAGAAGTGTAGTGGAATATTTGATGACTAAAAAATATTATTCTATCATTTTTTATTTGAAAACACAAAGCCCAAGAGTTATGAAAAATAGTAAATGATTGATAAAAACATATTTTCAATCTTTGCAAACTTTGTCTTTAATAACAAACGCTTCGATAGTTTGCAATTGACTGCTGTGAAAAAATTATCCTTGGATTAAAGAATATTTGAACGGTGTCATTTGAACTATGAACAACACACATATAATGGCATCAAAGGAGCTTCTTCAATCAACGTTAACATAATATTGAAATTGTATATTAAAAGTAAAATTAAAGGTAAATATTTACAAAACAAATTTCAGATTAATTGGTTGATAATCTCCTTGATATTACCAAAGTAGTACCATGGTATATCATAGTTTTTTAAACAATTTTCCCGATTTCCCCTCAAGAAAATCTTTGTTCACTTGTCAGTCAGAAGACAACTGAATCGTCGCTTTAATACCTTACTATTGTTATGCACATTGTAAAAAGAAAGAGTTAGAAGCGCAGATCTTAACCATTTTGAACAAAAGTGAGGTATTAAATCGAGGATCGTGTTAATCATATGAATAATACATGTATATGAATTAATAATATTACATTAAATTACTCAAACATGCCAAAGGATGAGTCGTCCAGGGAATGAGCTGTCTAGGGGATGAGTTGACCAGGGGATGAGTTGTCAAGGGGATGAGTTGTCTAGGAGATGAATTGCCTAGGGGATGAGTTGTCCAGGGGATGAGTTGTCCAAGGATGAGTTGTCTAGGGGATGAGTTGTCCGGTTACCCCATTTTGCATGCGTTTTCCCTTGAAACAAGTTTAGAATGGTATTATATTTTACCGCCTAGATTATTCATTTACTCAACACTGTGATCAATAGAGGCCTGGATGCTTTCAGTGCAAAACAACAAAAATAAACAATTCCTACAAATTTTTAAAGTTCAATAACACATCGATCACTTCAGAATTTCTAAAAATGTACTCTAAATCGATATAAGTAAGATAGTAAATCTAATACCAATGGATTGTATGGTTTGAATGACTATTATCACAATCTGATTTAACGGAACCAAAACCTAAAACATGCTAAAATAATTAGAAATCCAAAATCAATATGATGTGAAGTCAAAATCATGCAGTAGTAAATGTATTATTTGTTTTGTATGAACCGATAGTCCGAGACTAACACAAAATTTTAAGTTAGTGTCAGGCTTTGGGGTGGCCAGGATTAGGCAGACGAGGTATCGCTTTTTTAACATCCTTTGAGAAATATTCCTCTATCAATGTTGAGTTGTAAATTAAGTGTATACTTTTTAGTAAATAATTTTTATCATCAATTTTTGATTCAATTGTGCATAATCTCATCATTGTGTTCTTCTTTTGCCATCATAATTTACCCGTACATTCGTATTTCTGTCTGAGTTACATAGCCGCATAGCCATTTTTAATCTAAATAATGGAAATATACTGTAAAACTAACAACAGACTTGAAACGATTTGTATTTAACTTTCTGAAAAATGTGTTTATCAGGATTTTTCATATTTGGGCTATAGCCAAGGTACATCTTTAATGGCCTAGTCACATAGCCCGGCCGATGAGGTTCCGATGAGCCAGCGATGCAATTTTCACCGAACTCGGCCGTACACCGGCCGGACACCGGCCGGACATCCGTGGCGTTTGTTGCTTAAAACCGCATCGGTGGCAGCTCGGTGAAATTTTAACTTCGGAGTTAAATTTCACCGGGCTCTCACCGAGCTCCCTCATCGCAGCCCCATCGTAACCACATCAGAACACACGTCGGCCGGTGCACGGCCGAGTATCGGTCGGTGTCCCGTGCATCTGAGACAACCAGAGGACGAGGTTTTTTTAACGGACACCGGCCGAGCTCCGACCGAGCTCCAGCCGATGTGGGACAGAGCCTTGGAAAGTATAGTACCTGAAGATGTCCGGACGGAGTCCGTTCACGTCACCGAGCTCTGCTTCCGATGAGGAGAGCTCGGTGGCACCAAAAAAATCCACCGAGCTCTACCGATGCCGGACATCGGCCGGGCTATGTGACTAGGCCATAAACAATAGTTACGCTGCATTGCGACAAGACCGACATGACAGTTTTTAAAAGAGAGAACTCATATGGAAAATATTGCAAACAATTCTTGCGACCAGACGTCTACAGTACTGGATTTCCGCAAGCCACCATCAAGCCATTCTTCAAGTCTGTTCACCTGAAAATTGTTACAAATAACGGCCATAATTATTACCATTGTATTTCGAAGAAGCAAGTTGATTAAAGGATACCAACATGGAACGGTAGTCTAAATTGATTAAAATTGTAGATTGTACACATTTGATGATGGGACGAGGAGTGCAATGCCGTAGGAGCACATATTCTACCGCGGAGAAAATCGTTTCATCAAGGCCAATATCTAATTATTCAAACCAATATGGAATTCTATATTTAATGTAATGGATTTACGAGAGAATGAAATATATCACCTTTTGACACTGTTACGTTATCAAGCGATTTCAGAAAACACTTTTTATTATTGCGTTTTCTACCTTTGACGTTTTATTTATTTCCAAGGTCAAAATCAGAATGTGATTGCTCATTGTTCATTTTGTGGCAATTAACAACAAGTAGGTGCATAACCTATTGATAGGAGAAAACGAAATTAAAGGAATGTTTTTATAATAGTGGCATCTCACGCAATTTAGTGTAAGTTTATCGATTATATTCTTATTTCAGAAATCTTTGAGACAACTACAAAATAAACAGGCAAATTGAAATAGACAAGAAAAAATAATAAACTATAAATATAATATAGTATGATACAATATAAAATTCTCATTAGACTTTATTGTAAATGGACATCATGTCATTAGATTTGGTGCTGAATTGGGGATATTGGATTTTTTTATTGACGAATTTCGGATGTTGACTGAGACTGAGACGTGGTATCTTTTCTTGAAAGGTCCTGTGCAAAGTTTATTCATTCTAATTTTACTTCTCATGACGTGAAAACTATTTTAGACATTTTTTGAAAAATGTGAATCTTTCAAATATCTGAATTTCCTGTTATTTTCGAATTAATACTTTAGATTTTAGATCATGAAATACAACACTTGATTCATTATTTTCCATTTTCTTGTTCAAATATTTTCCAAATATGGTAAACTTTTCCTCAGTCAAAGTTGATCTACGACAACCGTACAGAGGCCGTTCCCCAAAGTCGATAGAGATATAGAGCATAACCCATAGGATAAGCAGTACGATGTAGATTTCCATCGATTTTGTTGAGCTACGGTCGCCGTACCGACTCTGTAGAGCAAGTGTGACCTATGGGGCTTTATCCCTATATTTTATGTTGCATATTTCTCTCGATTTTGGAAAGCTACGGCCACCGTACAGTTACCGTAGATCAAATGTAACTAAGGCATGATTTCAATTTGTACCAGTTTAAAATCATTTTTAGACCACCAGTAACCTTCTACTAACATATCTCTTTTAACTTATGTCGGACACCTTTTAAAGGTCCTTCTCTTTAAAGTTTCATTTTGCCCAATTGCCAAATAA